GGGACACGCAACCCCTCCCTTTTCCTTCCCCATGTCTATGTCTACTTTTTAGAGCAATTGATTAGAATCACTTCCTGAGATTTTTCTAGTTTTGCTTTCTGAATTACGGTTTATGTAACCAAGATCTGTTATAGTGAGTTGTTTCTCCTAGTTGTCAGATATCAGAGAAAAAAATGTATGCCCGCAGAATCCAGCCTTTGATCCAGTGTTCCTGGAGAACCCCCCTCATTTATGAAGCAAAAGCTTTTACGAGACTATAATAATAAAAGCTAAAAGGTCTAGGCCGGGCGTGGTGGCTCACAACTGTAATCCCAGCACTTTGGGGGGCCAAGGCAAGCAGATCACTTGAGCTCAGGAGTTCAAGACCTGCCTGAGCAGCATGACAAGACCCTGTCTCTGCTAAAAATAGAAGAATTGGCTGGGTATAGTGGCGCATGCCTGTAGTCCCAGCTTCTTAGGAGACTGAGGTGGGAGGATGTCTTGAGCCCTGGAGGTAGAGGTTGCAGTGAGCCAAGATTGCACCACTGTACTCCAGACTGGGTGACAGAGTGAGACCCTGTCTTTAAAAAACAAACAAAAATTATGGAGTGCTTGCTCTATGTTAGACACAGTTGTAATAACTCATTTAATTCTCACAACAGACCCATAAGATGGGTATTTATTATTCTCATTTTATAGATAAACTGAGGCACAAAGAAATCACACAACTTGCCCAGGTCCTGTGCTATTGCTGGTTGAGCCAGATTTCGCACCTAGGCAAGTCGGCATCAGAACCTACACTCCTAACCACCACATTCTTGTAACTTGATGGGCTTTACCTGTCATGTCAAGACATGTTGGGATGCAAAATCAACATCAGAAAGACAAGTCAAAAAGCAATTGTAGTGGTCCAGGGACAAAATGATGAGGACCTGAGTCAGGATAGGGCAGGCACAAGGAGTTGCTAAGGACACATTTAAGAATCGATTAGGATGTCAGAACCAACAACTTAATGAGGGAGAAGGGCAGATGTCTAGCTTAGGATATTGGTACCCTCAGTGAAGAGGGGAGTGGTGAGCCCCATTTAGATATGCCAAGTCAGAGGCATCCAGAGGAGATGTCCAGCAGACAGGTGGATGAACTGGCCTGGCCCAAAGACACAGCTCAGTCATACACACATTCATTTGGGAGTTTAGTGGCCAAAGAAAAAAACGATCTCCACAGGGAGGTTGGCAAAGGCTTCCTGGGTGAGGTTGGCTTTGAGCCAGGCTCTGAAAAGCAAGATGCTCTGAGAAGTGGGGAAATGGGGGAAGGAGGAGTGGGAGAAGGGATGTCAGTGTGACGAGGAGTCTACCATGGAGGAAGCTAGGGAGTAAGGTGGGCAGGTGCTGGGTTTGGATAGGGGCGGTTATCAGGGAAAAGTGACAGAAAGCTTTGGAATGACTTTTGATGACTTCCTCCTCCTAAGTCTGATTTTTAAAAATGAAAATCGTTATGGAATATTTTAAACTGATGTTCATAGTTGCTACTCCCTCCTTTGCTCTTCCAAAGTAATTTCTTAAAACCAGTGTTATGGGGAGATGTATGCATTCAACTATCTTTAATATCCTAAAAGACCTTGTTCTTGGATACCTGGGCCACCAGGAGACCTCTCATGTGTCTTGTCAGTGGAAACATGTAAAGGGGGCAAGGGAGGAAAGGTGGTGAGAGGTAAAGTCTTGATCAAAGCAGAGACACAGCAAGACCCCTTTTGTGTGTACAAGGAGGGTGAGCGGTGGAGCATGGATGCCAGATGAGAAAGCCAGCAGGAGCGTTCTTCCGGGCAAAGGACACTTCTTTGGTACCTTCTTTTCACATGGGCCTCCTCTGGTTTTGAGTTTAGTGGATATATTGTCTTGTTGGTATCATAGACTAGGAGTGGCTGTGGGCCATGGCAGTAGCCACATTGCTTCTGCAAGGCTGAGAACACTGCTGTTGCCTGGTTTGTCTCACAGGCTTGGAGTGTAGAAGCATAGGAATTAGGCTAAAGGTTGAGAATTAGAAGAAGGATATGGTTTAGAAATAGCACAAAGTTGCCGAAAGACAGTTTAACAAGACTGTTTACTTCCTCCCCACCATTATTAGAGCAATACATAATTACCAGAAAACATTTGGAAAATGTGGAAGAAATGTAAACACTTATGGTCCAACAATTAATTACTGTTAACTTTTTGACATATTTCTTGCAAATCTTTTCTTAATTATAATCTTTTTTAGTTTGCTTTGCTTAGTTATGATCAAATCAGATATACAATAATATATATTAACTTTTTCATCTAATGTTCTAACGTCAACATTTATCCATTAAACTGAATTTTTATTTCATGTGTCAACCAAAACTCCCTTACCAGTTTATGAGCAAGTCAAGGATCTTCTGGATGATAGCTGGGGGAGAGAAGCAGCAACTGGGGCTGGAAGGCAGTAGGGTCATTAGTCCAGAGCACCCACGTCTGGAGCCCTATTCAGGAAGAAGTGAATGCTGAGGGTGTGTGAGGCCAGTGCTGATCCTGAGGAAATCCTTCCATTTACCCTTCCCACCTCTCCTGATTTTGAGAGTTCTAGACCAATCCAAGAGTAATTAGAAAATTAGCCACTGAGCCTCCAAGAGGTTCCTGCAGGCCCTAGAACTAACCTTATTTGAAAGGAAGAATCCTAGAACCTCCTATACCTATGAAAATGAGACCACTTTGACTGCTGCGCTCATTATACAGAGAAGGAAAGACCTGAGTAAGCTCCCTTTCCCTGTCTGGAGGCACGATGGCCTCCCAGGTGCTTGGATAACTAATTTACTGATTCTGTTAGCTGTGTGTACCTTCTGTAGAGTAAGTAAGCGTGTGGTAGAAATTATGAGTAGTGTACTGGTTCCAGGTTTATGATTTTTTTAGTATGTAAGTTCATTTGTTAATTAGTTGGCTAGTTAGTTGTGGGGAAGATTCATGTCATCCAAGGATGAAAATAGGACCTGGAAAGGTGCTTTCTGCAGACTGCTCAGTGTCTCTGAGACATGAACAGATAGCTTGTTTACTTGCAGAGGAATGTGCTATCAGCTAGGGAAAAGATTTTTTTTCTTCCCCTGACTAAATTTTCTGAGTGTGGGATAAAAATTAAGACATTCAGAGTAACAATGAAATGGTTTAACGTATCATTTATATTAAATACAAGTTTATTGCAATGCTTTTCTCTCCCTATTTGGCATGTTCCACCTTCTTAATCTAACCTAAATTGTTTCAAGATTGTATTCAGCATGGCACATGGGGAAATCACACAGTTTGGAAACAGGCCCACTTGGGTTTGAATCTGGCAAAGGAACCGACACAATCCTGCTGTATTTTCTCAATAGTTGTATATTCTCAGCAGTAAGATGGAAGCAGTAACACCTATCTCCTTAGGAGTATGCAAGATGAGGTTTGTGAACTATTGGGACCTACAGTGTTGGCCTTTGGTGAACAGTGGTTATTATCTCTTCCCACACTACCACTTAGAAGGCCCACATGCCTGGCAGTCCCAATGGCCTGGTCTGGCCTGACCTGCCCTTGAAATGAGATGCCTGAAATGTGATGGCTGGTGCTCTATGCATGCACCCAAGGATGCTTGAGGAAGATAAAAACAGCCAGCTTTCTCAGAGATTTATGGTTCTGAAGTTCATCTTTAGTAAGTGCTGATCTTAAATTCATACTCACTGGGCCATTTGCCCAAACCCAGGGTAGAAACCATTCATATCTGTGGAGTTGCTGGAAGAATAGCTTTTCAGTCCCTTTTCAGAATTTCCATCTGAATGCACTTAGTTTTGCTGCTGGCAGAAGAGTACCCCCAAAACATTCAGCAAAGGTTTTGTGATCTCTTGGGAGGAACGGTGTTACACAGATCACTCCTAAGTGCACAAAAAGAGGAATTGTGCCAGAATTGCTTTTTGGGAGAAGAGATAAGCTCCAACAGTTATCGTGTGGACTTAAATCCTTTCCTGCACTGGCAATTTTCCCATTAACCCTAAGCATGGTCCCTTGCCTGCGGCCTCTTCTCAGAGCACCACTGACCCGCCTAGGCATGGCATGTGGTGGGACAGTCCCGGCTGCATTCCCAGGCAAATACTCCTGCCCCTCGAAGTTGTGAGCCCTCCCCTAAGGGGTGTTTTTCATCTATACTAATTTTCACCTTTTATTCCTGACTTGTGGCAGCTTGTTGTGAGCCTTGGATAAACAGAAAGGATGTGTCACTCCCTCCAGTGTCTTAGTTCAGGACAGGCCAGGGCACAGTATTGCCCTGGATCTCATGAAGATGGGCTTTGCCCTGGCCGGCCCTACTGGGGCAGGAACATGTGTTCTCCATCCAACATCTCCTGCTGTTTATGTTTTTTAAGTGAAATGGAAGCCTTCAGCCCTAAGCTCTGTGGATCCAAGTCCTCACCAACTTCTGGACAAACTCTTGGCGAGTTTAAGCAGGCAGTTCTTTTGTGCCTTTACATATCTTATTTCTTAACCCACGAAGTTAAGTCATTTCCATAGTGAGCAGGGGATGTTCAAGAACCTAGATTCAAAGTGATTCTTTATTGGTATCCATAATGGAGAGATGCTTCCCAGGGAGTGTCAAGTCTGATTTGTGCCTGAAAAGATGTTTATTTTGAAGTAGTGCTTGGTGCAGGGTGGGAATACTTCATCTGCTGGGTTCAGGAATGCAGATGGGGACTGACCCTGAGGGTGAGTCAGTTAATAAGCAAGCAGCCCCTGCTGGGCTGAGGTCAAAGGGATCCTGTCCAACCAGAGGGATTGGACTCCATCGACTAGCTGGCTCCTGGGATTCTCACATTGGATTCACAGTTCTTTAGAGTAACTTCCAGGAGCCCCTCATCTTCTCCTCCTGAGCAGGCCCTCAGGGCAGGAATCTGGGGTCTGGGGCGGGGAACTGCACACTCAGATTTTTGCATTATATTACAACTATCAGTACATGCTGCAGTTGGCCACAGTGTGCTCTGTTTTTGTTTCCAGCTTCCCAGTGCAACGTCAGCTTAAAGAAGCAGAGGAGCCGCAGCATCCTTAGCTCCTTCTTCTGCTGCTTCCGTGATTACAATGTGGAGGCCCCTCCACCCAACAGCCCCAGTGTGCTTCCGCCACTGGTGGAGGAGAATGGTGGACTTCAGAAGGTCAGTACTGGCGAGGAACTGTGCACTCCATAAAGCTGCAGCAGCGGCATATCTGTCCCATCCTTGATGAATATCCTTAATAAGAATATGCAGAGCTGGGCGCGATGGCTCACGCCTGTAATCTCAGCACTTTGGGAGGCTGAGACAGGTAGATTGCCTGAGGTCAGGAGTTCGAGACCAGCCTGGCCAACATAGTGAAACCCCGTCTCTACTAAAAGTACAAAAAATTAAATGGGCGTGGTGGCAGGCGCCTGTAATCCCAGCTGCTAGGGAGGCTGAGGCAGGAGAATCGATTGAACCTGGGAGGCAGAGGTTGCAGTGAGCCAACATCGTGCCATTGCACTGTAGCCTGGGCAACAAGAGCAAAACTATGTCTCAAAAACAAAAAACAAAAAGAAAAGAATATGTGATAGTATGTGTACAGCCATTTACTTAAAGATTTGAAATTACCAAGAAAAAGTAACCTTTTTTGATAAAGGAGATCTCATTTAGCAACTAAAGATCATATTTGACGGGAGTTACGGGAGTCACTTCACATTTTTATAACATTCTCTCTTGGGAAGTTGAATGCATAAAACAGTTAAACAACCAGTAGCAGACTCACAAATAGATAAAAAGAGAAACAGACATAGAGAAGAGCTAACAATAAAATAATTGAGTTTAACTACCTTGTTTAATAATAAGCATGTTATATATTCTTTTGTATGTGTCAAATAAAATATGTCATATTGTCACAATAGGTCAAAACCAAAATCTGCCAACATTCTGTCTAACAAACGCATCTGAAACAAAGTTACTCAGAACAGTTAAAAGTATAAGGATGAGGCCAGGCATGGTGGCTCATGCCTGTAATCCCAGCACTTTGGGAGGCCAAGGCAGGCAGATCACCTGAGGTCAGGAGTTTGAGACCAGCCTGGCCAACATGGCGAAACCTCTTCTCTAGTAAAAATACAAAACTTAGCTGGGCCTGGTGGTGGGCACCTGTAATCCCAGCTACTTGGGAGGCTGAGGCTGGAGAATCGCTTGAACCTGGGAGACGGAGATTGCAGTGAGCCAAGATCACACCACTGTACTCCAGCTGAGTGACAAGAGTGAAACTCCATCCCCCCCCCCAAAAAAAAAAAAGTATAAGGAATAAGGATGAGCAAAGAGACCTCATACAAGTATAAATTAAGGAAAATAAGGGTTATAATATTAATCTCAGTCAAAATGGAATTTCAGGGAAAAATCACTGAAAGAAGATTATTCATCACGAAGATAGTTGACATTTGAGGACCCAAAAGTCATAAAGCTTTATATTCCAAATAACATGAGCAAAGGGCACAAACGGGTAATTCACAAAATAAGAAATACAGATGGTTCAGTCTTGTTGATATCATAGACCAGGATTGGCTGTGGGCTGTGACAGTAGCCACATTGCTTCTGCAAGACTGAGAACACTGCTGTTCCCTGATTTGTCTCACAGGCTTGGAGTGTAGAAGCATAGGAATTAGGCTGAAGGTTTTCATATGGTCAAACATATGAAAAAATAAGAATGTTGCACATATAAATACATGAAAAATATTTAACACGTTTAGTAATCGAAGAAACGCAAACTAGATAATGAGATACCGTTTTCCAGCTTTCAACTTATCAAAGATATTTTTAAACACAATCTTTGGTTTTAGCATGGAGTGGTAGGAGGGAGGATAGAGAATGTAAATAAGTTGCTGGTAACAATGTGACTTGATGACACCTTTCTGGAGGAAAATTTGGCAATATGATCTTAAAGCCTTAAAATATCCCTATTTGTTGATGCAGGCAGTTACCCTTTATGGACATAATTATGAATGTGCAAAGATTTAACCATGAGGTCCCACCCAGCATAGATTATAATACCGAAAAATTATAAGCAACCTGATGTTCAACAATAGGCAGTTGGTTAAAAAAAAAAAAACTACAGAATAACTGTGCAATCAAATAGCATACAGCCCTTCAAAATGATATGTCGTAAATATTGCTGATATAAAGAAATGGATAGAGTGTCTCTCTTGTTCTCTCAGACACATACACACACAAACATTTATAAGACTAGAAGGACGTATGCTGAAATATGAAGAGGTTATCTCCTATTGCTCACACTGGTGGAATTATAGCTAGGATTTTCTCCTTCCCTCTATACTTTCCTCAGTTTTCAGAAAATCAGCTTAAATTACTTTTATGATTTAAAAAATTATTTTAAAACCACATATGAATGTATAGAAGGGAATGCTGGGAAGATGACAGCCTGAGCACATGGCTCTGACTGTTAAAATTCCCTCCCAGGATAAACCCAGGTGGGCCTGCTGGTGGAGCCTAGAAAGTGCATTAAGGCCCCCAGTTTTCCTGACACCTTCAGGGTAGAGAGCAGACACAGGATTTATTCTCTCTGTTACTCAGTAAGAAGCAGGGAACCACCAACAGAGGAAAATGCTTACGTCTCCCTGAGTCCTTGGACAAACACTCGAATGTATAGTCCCATGAGATCCACTAGCCGGAAGGAGCTGGCGGATCGCCTTGGAAAGGGCTCACACTGCCCACACAATGTGTGTGGTCCTTTGAGGGGCTGCCCTGGTGAGCTGGATTGCTTCCAGTGCTTGTGCCTTGGAGGAGCCAGTAGTGTAGGGGCTTTCTTCATCTCTGAGGTTTGTTAACTTGGGCTCTGCTGGGCCATGAAAACAGCATTCCTTGCTGGGCCTTGCAGTACTCACTCATTTGCCACTTCCCAGAGAGCCTCATAGACTGACCTGCACAGACACTAAGGGAACCCACAACCTGGTGCAAGCAAAGAAAAATGCAGCCTCCACTGAGGAAGTCCAAGTTGTAAAAACTGTAATGAGACTTCCACTGCAGTAAAACTAATGGAAGAGATGGAAGAGAACTTTAACGGACAACTCAGGAAATGAATTATTTCAAAAGTAACATTTGGAATTTAAAAACTCATGATTTCTAAATATAAAAATTCAGTAAACAAACAGAAGGAGAATGGTCACTGCTGGGAACTGAATTCGTGTTCTGGAAAAGCAAGTGGAAGAAGAAATATCTTACAATTCAGACCAGAAACAAGAGATGATAATTGTGAGAGGGGACAGCAGGCATCTAGGAGATGGAACATGCAAATGTTAAGAGTTCCAGAAAGAGGAAAAGTAGTAGAAGAAAAATTTCTTGAGCTAAAAACAAAGCTTGAATCTGTGGATTGAAGGAGCTTACCAGGTCGACAGCAGGATTAATAGAGGAGCGCATGCCTAGATGTATCTGTTGAAATTCTGAAGTTTAAGGACAAAGAGAAAGTCTTACAAGATACTAGAATAAGTTATTTTTAAGGAAAACAATTATATTAGTATCAGACTTCTTATCAGCAACACTAAAAGCCAGAAGACTATGAAAAAGTATTTATAGGCTACTGAGGGAAAAAAATGGAAACCAAAAATTCTGTATGTGACCAAGATATCATTTATCTGTTGAGACAAAAGTTTCTTAGATATGTAATGATTCAGAGAGGGAACAAAACATAAAAATCTGGGTGACATTGATACTCAGTTATGATATAATTGTTAAAAATGTTAGAAATAGGCTGGATGCAGTGGCTCATTCCCATAATCCCAGCACTTTGGGAGGCCAAGGCGGGCGGATCACGAGGTCGGGAGATCGAGACCATCCTGGCTAACACAGTGAAACCCCATCTCTACTAAAAAATACAAAAAATTAGCCTGGCCTGGTGGCGGATGCCTGTAGTCCCAGCTACTCGGGAGGCTGAGGCAGGAGAATGGCGTGAACACAGGAGGTGGAGCTTGCAGTGAGCCAAGATTTCGCCACCGCACTGCAGCCTGGGTGACAGAGCGAGACTCAGTCTCAAAAAAAAAAAAAAAAAAAAGGTTAGAATTAAGCTGGGTGCAGTGGCTCATTCCTATAATCCCAGCACTTTGGGAGGCTAAGGCAGAAGGATCACTTCAGCCCAGAAGTTTGAGACCAGCCTGGGCAACATAGGGAAACCCCTATCTCTACAAAATAAATAATAAATAATTAGCTAGATGTGGAGGTGTGCACTTGTAGTCCCAGCTACTCTGGAGGCTGAAGTAGGAGGATTGCTTGCACCTAGGAGGTCGAGGCTGCAGTGAGCCATGATCGCACCACTGCCCTCCAGCCTGGGTGACAGCAAGACCCTGTCTCAAAAAACCCCCAATGTAGAAACAAACATGATTTTTAGGAATAGAACTAATAATAGAACTGTAACAAGTGGCACAATTAGAAAATAGATCTTTAAAATTCACAGAGGGAGTAAAGGAGAAATAAACAAATTGAACAAGCCATCAAAATTAAGGAAAGGGAAAAAGAACAAATAATAAATAGCAAACATAACATAAAGAATAGGCATAAAACCTAGTTTGATGAACCAGATTCTTCTAACAAAGACCAAGACTACATCAGATTGGTTTGACAAATTCAGCTGTATGATATTTCCAAGAATATGCCTGTCATCAAATAGGAATGATTTTGTCAGTAAGTAAAAGAAAACTGCTGGGCATGGTGGCTAACGCCTATAATACCTGCACTTTGGGAAGCCGAGGCAGGAGGATCACTTGAGGCCTGGAGGTTGAGGCTGCAGTGAGCCTTAATCGCTCCACTGTCCTCCAGCCTGGGTGCCAGAGCAACATCCTGTCTTGAAAGAAAGAAAAAAAGAGAGAAGGAATGAAAGGAGAGAGAGAGAGAGAGAAAGTGTGAAAGAAAGAAAAGAAAAGGAAGAAAGCTGACAAATAATAGCTTAGACAAATAGGGGATTGTTTTTCTCACATAAAAAGCCTGGGTCAGGTAGTTACGGGGGTTTAGATTTCTGATGATGCCATCAAGAACATGTTTTTCTGTCTTTCTGCTCCCCTATCCTTGGTGTGTTTGCCTTCATCCTCATGCTTGCTATTTATGATCTCAAAGTCACAAGTTTTAGATATCCTATCCACATTTAAAGGAAAAAGATAGGGAGGGGTGGCACTGGCCATGTCTGTCCCTTTTATGAAAATAAATCCTTTCACGGAAAAACCCAGGAGACTTCTGCTTATGTCTTATTGGCCTGACACAGTGCCTGGCAGATTTCTTTTCCTTACTGCCAAAATCATTTCTATCTGATGGCAGATATGTTCTTGGAAACAGTGTACAGTTGAATTAGTCAAACCAATTGGGTGTAGCCTTTTGTCACATGGCTATCCAATAGCAACAGGGGAGGAATGTAGCCCAGCATATTCTTGCTCTCAACAAAATCAGGAGAAGGGAGGAATGACTCATGAATAGATACACTAGTCAGTATGGGTTCGTTTATGCTTCAGTAACAACCTCAAAACCTCAGAGGCTTAAACAGTAAAGGTCTATTTTTCACTCATGCTACTTGTTTATAATGGGTTGGCTGAGGCTGAGCCTTTTGTTCTGTGGCACTATCCAACAGAAATATAATGTAAGTCACATGTATAATTTAATTTTTTCCAGTAGCCACATTAATGAAAATATTTTTTAAACAAATGAAATTAATTTTAATAACATGTTATTTAATCACTATATTCAAAATATTATCTCGATATGTAATCAATGGAAAAAAATATTAGTGAGATAATTTATATTCTTTTTTTCTTACTAATCCTTCAAAATCTGATGTGTATTTTGTACTTACAGCACATCTTAATTTGGACCAGCCACATTTTGTGTGCTCAGTAGCCACATGTGACTAGTAGCTACCATACTGGACAGTATAACCATCTTATCCTCATTCACATGCCTATACCCCATCTCTTTGCTTCCATGACTGTCACAGCAGGACAAAGGAAATGTGATAAATCACATTGGCTCTTAAAGTTTTCACTCAGAAAACTCAGAAAAACATGCCTCATTTCAGCTGACATTTTATTGGCTAAAGTCAGTCACATAACTGCATTAAGTTCGAGGGGAATGGAAGTGTCATCCTCCCACATATTCAGAAAGAAAACTGGAATTATTTGGTGGGCAGTGCTAATGGCAATTGCAGTAGGTGACAGTTTCTGACATAACATCTAACATACAGATAAAGAAAGGTGGAAAATAAAGAAACGGGCAAAATATACAAAGCAGATCAAACAGAAAGCAAGAGTGACAATGTCACTATCAGAGAAAGCAGAATTCAAATTCAAAAGCATTAAACAGGATAAATAGGGCTACTTTATGACAAGCGGTCTAATACATGAACCGTATAGTAGCCCATAAACCTTTATATATAAAATCAACAGTGCCACCAAAGAAGAAAACTGTACATGATAAAAAGCGATCTTCAAAAAATAAACAGCGAACAACACAGAAAAATCAATGGTAGGTTCTGGCTAATGGAATAAGCCAAGAAAATGAGACAATTGGTATAAACATGGAAAAGATACAAAGTTAGTCTTACTTGCAGATGACATGATTGTTTACATAGAAAACCGAAAAGACTCCACCAAAGTTGATTCAAATTGTAAAAGATTTTGATTTCTCATGTTTATGAGAAACGCGTGTGCTGTTTCTAGATAGAAAGGCTTAAGTTCTTCTGGGACAAAAAATGTCAAAGAAGAACCGAGAAATTTTTAGAAAGAAAATAAGGAAGACAACTTGGTATCTTTGTAGATGAAGTGATATGAGGAAATGGCATGGCAGTCTTGGAAGCTTTCCTGGGGTACTCAGCTGTATCTATCAGGAAATAGAACCCTTTAAAGGCAGTTCCTCCAGCAGAGCTGAGCTCACTTGGACTTACTGTTCATTCATGAACTTCCTTCTATTAATATTTGTCAAGATGGCTTTTTAAAGAATTATGTTAACTTTGAGTTAATTTAGTTAATCCAAAGTGGGGTGATATGTTATTTCCATAACACTTGACTAGTCAATCCGGGAGACCAGACACCAGAGAAAGAGCCCTGTCAGAGTGAGGCAGTGAATTCCCAGAGGAGGACCCTCTGCCTCTTGCCCCTAGCTTGCTCAGGACATTCAGAACACAAAGCCCGGGCCTATTAGATGTGGAAGCAGATTCCAGGCCCATTTCTACTGTTGATTCCTTAAGTATCTGTGCCTCTCGGAATTCAGCATGCCAGAGGAAGAGGGAAGGCTATGGACAGAATGGGACAGATGACCTCTAGGGTTCAGTCACCCTGCATATTTACTTTTGCCCTGGAGAAATGAGGATTTGGAGCCTTTGAGTTTCCAGCTGCTTCTACAGCAGCAGCTTGGGGTAGCAGCCATTGCCACCATCACAGCCACAACCTGGACCTACAGACCAGAAGCCTCCAGAGGCTGGGAGGAGTCAGCACCCCAATGGCAAAGACCATGGAGGACTTTTAAGGGCAAAGACGGCATAAAACGGATTGTTGGACACTCACAAATACATGCATACCTCATGCTGTATACACACACATACATACATGTAAGCTTCTAGGGTAATTTTCAAGCCCAAATATCCTTTGAGATCAACACTTTTGCTTGCTCATAGTGGACATTTTGTCAGGCCTTTCAGATGCATTGTTGTGATCTCTTGCATCATGGATGTGCTCATCTCATCAAGAGTGTGTTCTGAAGGTGCACCTGTGTGCAGGGGCTGTCTGCACTCTCCTACTAGAGCAGAGCTTCTCAACTTGGGATAATTTGCCCTCCAGGGAACATGTGACAATGTCTGAAGACAGATTGTCACTAGAGGGGGAGAGAGCATCTACTGACATCTGGTGAGCAGAGGCCAAGGATGCTGTTAAACATCCTGCAACAAATAGGACATCCCTCACAACAGAGTTACCCAGCCCAGAATGTCACCAGTGCTGAGGTTGAGAAACCCTGCTCTGAAGTGGCCCAGCTGGGTATGGCAGCACACACCTATAGTCCCAGGTACTCAGGAGGCTGAGGCAGGAAGATGTCTTGAACCAGAAGTTTGAGGCCACAGTGAGCCATGATCACACCACTCCAACCTGGGTGACAGAGCAAGACCCCGTCTGTAAAGTAAAATAAAATAAAAATAAGGAGACCCAAATAGGCTGTGAACTTCTGGTTAAAATCTCCTCCACCAAATACTATGCAGCCGTGAAAAAGAAGAAGTCATGTAATTTGCAGCAACATGGATGGAGCTGGAGGCCATTAATCTAAGCAAACTAATGCAGGAACAGAAAACCAAATACTGCACGTTCTCACTCATAAGTGGGAGCTAAACACTGAATACTCATGGACAACAAAGGGAACAACAGACACTGGGGCCTACTTGAGGGTGGAGATTAGGAGGAGGGTGAGGATGAAAAGACTATCTCTTGGGTACAATGCGTATTACCTGGGTGACAAAATAATCTGTGCACTAAACCCCCATTTACCCCATAGGTAAATGACATGCAATTTACCTATATAACAAACCTGCACATGTACCTCTGAACCTAAAATAAAAGTTTTTTTGAAAGTATGTCCTCCACCAAGTATGTCTGTAGGAGCAGTGACCTACTCTTGAGTCCCAGTATTAGGAATAATATTATTTAAAAGCTTCTTAAATGAATTTATCTGTGCAAGTTCTTGAAAACTTTGATTTATTTGATTGCATTGTCTGTTGGAGAGCAGCGTAGCTCTGCCTTGAGTGATGTCAGAAGGAAGCTTACAGTCTTTAAGACAAGCCCAAAATCTGAAAAAGGAAGGAACTGTGGAGATCATCTCCAGAGGAAATGATACTTGCTCTTATACTGCAGAGGTGATGACTAGGGGTTAGAGATAATCAAGAAGTTGCTAAATTTTTCTTAGTGTCAAAACAGAGCTCAGAAAGGTGCCAGCCAGCTGCCATTGCCAGCCATCAGGTTTGGCCCCTTCATGTGAGACCTCGTTATCACTGTAACCCTCTTAATAAAAATGGACACATATTTTCACAAATTCTTCAGTGTACAAGGCATGAAGCAGTGCATCGCCTTATTAGGCCATCTAAAAAAGAAGAAACAGAAACTGGAAATGCTCAGTGGAAATAAACTTTTTTATTAGCATTTCTTAACAATGCTATAATGAAGTGTTTCCATCAGTTAGGTTTGGAATGGCTGGCATTTGGGGCTGAGGAATAATTGAGGCCTTTCCTTGGGGCCTAGGTTTTCTTAACACTCCCTGTGAATACAGGTTGTATTTCCCTTACAGGAGAAAGCTGTCCCCTTGTCTGTTGCCTGGGAGGGAACTTCTTGTACCTTGCCTTGTCCCCTCTCCCCACTCTTCCCCTAGAGGAGCTTCTGGAATGACCGGGAGGTCATTGTAATCTGATGAACACGTCTCCCGTTCCCTGCATATGATATTGACGTAGTCTTTTTAGGGGAAAACTTGCTTAAAAGAAAAAACAAACAGTTATTAGAAGGAATCAAGGATGAAAGTAAAGTATGAGTTTTTATTTTTGTTTTTAAATTAAGGATTCAATTCCTGGGAGTGAAGGAGGCACTATTTAAATACACAAAATGGTTGGTGACTTGTTAGCAGAACGGGTGTCTGAGAGGCAGAAGGAACCTCATGCCTTAACTGTGGGAGATTTTCGGATTCCTCCTGTTCATTAAACACCACCAAGGTACAGAGAATGGCGATCATGCAGCTGCTGCGCTCGAGAGGGCTTTGAAGTTTCTTTTGAGAATATATGATCTTCTCTTCAAACCTGACAATGATTTTTTTTTTCTTTTTCCTCAGGGTGACCAGAGGCAGGTCATTCCCATACCAAGTGTATGTATATTTATCTAATTTTATTTATTAAAACGGTTATAAAATCTTGTGGCTTTGGGCCTACTGATATAAAGGATTTTTTTAATGTTATTGCTTATGTTGAGTTTATCATGTGGTGTAAACAACTCTGTTCTGTTAAAAAGAAAACTGAAGCTACATTTTAAACTGTGAGCAGGAAGTTCTCTACAGAGACAGTTTCCTTTCTCAGGAACAGCAAGGCAGCCAGCATCCATTTACCCAATTCTCATTTTCCCTTTCTCTCTGGGAAGGACCTCCAAGCTGAACAAGCTGAGATTGCTCAGAACCCTCACCCACACCCCACCATCTTAGCCTCAACTCCATAGATTGGCGGAAACATTCTTTTGCCCAGACACAGTTCTTTGCAGCAGGTTCAGTCCCAGTGGAACTGGGCTCACCAAGCTCAGGTCCCAGGTGACCGGACCGTTTCTAACTTATCAGTGGTAGTATGTCTATAGCTCCGAGATCAGAGAAGTCACCCTAACTATATTCTCTGGACTTGCAGGACCCATCCCACAGGCCTGCTGTGCTGCAACTCTGCCCAGCTGGGCACTCCCTGAGGCCACCCTCACTTCTGTTGTCAGCCCTGAAATTTGTTCCACCCCAGCACAGTCCTGCACCAGCCACCCCTCAGCCATCCGCTGTCCCTTCTCTTCCTCCTGTTCTGCCAGCAGAGCCACCCAGCCTGAAGCCAGTCAGCAAGAAGTAAACTGAAGACTGACTCCCAAAAGAAACTTACAGTCGAGATGTCTGTATCAAACAAGACCTTTCAAATAGTCTTATGTCCTTAGAGAAGGATTTAGGTTTCAAAATATGCCTATAAATTAATTTTTTAGTCTGTAAAGATGATCAGATTCAGATTACTTGATTCAAATCTGTTCATCTCTCTTTCCTTTGAGTTTTTCACATATTTTCTGGAAACATCCAATAGACACAGCAATCTTACATAGAAGGAGTAGATGGATTTCATGCATACAAGTTGACTCCAAAGGCTTTGGTAGTACATGTCACTTACAAATTGCCCAAAAAGTTTACAGTAATTTCATTTTTCTCAAAACTCTAACTCTTGATTGACTAACAAATTGCAAGAGTCTGTGTAGTGATTCTGACTGCCCATGTGCCTGAGGGTTGGACTTTGTTGGGAAAACTGGCTTTGATCAAAAAGATTGACCTAGCAACCCAACTTTTTATCCAGAGTGTGAGGGAGATGCCCAGCAGAGTTAATACCAGAAGACTCTTTAACCTTTATACAAAGTAGTTTTGACATTTTTTTTTTCCTGCAAAGGTACCTACATTAAATGATGGCAGGTAACATCTCTTCTTCACCTTCAATGGCACTATTACTGTTTTTTCTTAAAGCTAATTGGCAGCGATGTGCAAAGTTAAGTGAAGAACAAAAGCACTTGTCAGTATAAAAACCCCACTGAAGAAACGGACCCTTTTCCCACAAATCTAGACTCAGCCAGGTATAGAATTCTGGAATAAGAGAAACAAGAAGAAAATTTCTTATGTAATGGATCCTGGTGATGGATCAATAAACTGCTGACTGTGTCCTACATGTGAGGTGTTGGGTCAGGCCACGTGAACCTATGAACTATCTTGCCCAAAGAAACAGCCGAGCTAAAGGAACTTGCATTTTTGAATGATGACCTCTAGAAAAGTCGTTCCACTAGTGGGCACAGTGTGATTTCCACTGCCTGCTTAGCATATAGGGCTGATCCCAAGTCCATCTGAGGCCAGCTCAGCCCTGGAATCAAGTCTTGGGAGCCCCTGCAAAATTTGCACCTACCTGAAAAGGCTGCAGGTTACATAAGCAGCGTGGTCCTGGCCTTTCTGGACCTCAGGGGGACCTGGTCAGTGCTGGGAGCCCTGAGATCTTAGGGTTCCATACATAGAACCAGAAATCCGGGCTTGTGCTGAGCCTCCAAACCAGATCCCACAACCTCCTGAAAGCTTCCTTTAGGCCCTGAAGGTAAAGAATCCTCTAAGCCCGTGGTGACCAGAGCAACTGCAGCTGGGGTCCCCATCTGTGCCTGTCACTTCACCCCTCTTTTTTCATTCGCATGCTGCTCTGTTTGTATGTGTAGGTTTGGACTTTTAATTAATTGCAAAAAAATAATTCAAGCTCATGGTTAATTATTAAATATTGAAGGATTTGGGATTAACACCTGTGGAAATACATATATACATACCATACATATATGAAGTTGAAAGATTAAAGCAAAAAGAAAATATCTCTCAATGTAATCCTACTGCCTTCTAGGTAGTACCACTATTAATATATGTCATTTATCCTTCCAGAAGTTTTCCAGACAAACACAAACATAGTTATATAAATGAAGTTGTGTTGTATTCACCATTCTGCAAATTGCTTGTTACTTTCTAACAAGATGCCTTGAACATCTTTCCAAATATTAGTAGGTATATATCTGCCTCATTGTTTTATATTTCATTGATGGCATTTACTTTGTTTCCACTTCTGTGCTATTACAAATATTTCGCTTAAAAATATCCTCTTTTCTGTGTGCTTATGGACTTGTGTGATAGTTCTTTGTGATCAGTTTCTATTTGTGGAAATGCTAGGTCAAAGGATATAATATTACAGTATTGGTACATTAAAGCCAAATTGTCCTCCAAAAGCCTATGCTAATTTACATTCCCATGAAGTATATGAGATTGCCTCATACCCTTACTGAAAATGATTATCAAATGTTTCAATCTTTGCTAATCTGAAAGTAAAGAATGGTAGCAGTGGCTCACACCTATAACCCAAGCACTTGGAGAGACCGAGGCGGGCAGATGGCTTCAGCTCAGGAGTTCACGACCAGCCTGGGCAACATGGTGAAACCCCATATCTATAAAATATACACAAAATTAACTGGGCATGGCGGCTGGGCGCGGTGGCTCACGCCTGTAATCCCAGCACTTTGGGAGGCTGAGGCGGGTGGATCACCTGAGGTTGGGAGTTCCAGACCAGCCTGACCAATATGGAGAAACCCTATCTCTACTGAAAATACAAAATTAGGCCGGACGCAGTGGCTCACGCCTGTAATCCCAGCACTTTGGGAGGCTGAGGCGGGTAGATCACCTGAGATCGGGAGTTTGAGACCAGCCTGACCAACTTGGAGAAACCCCATTTCTACTAAAAATACAAAATTAGCCGGGTGTGGTAGCACATGCCTGTAATCCCAGCTACTTGGAAGGCTGAGGCGGGAGAATTGCTTGAACCCGGGAGGTGAGGTTGCGGTGAGCTGAGGTCATGCCATTGCACTCCAGCCTGGGCAACAAAAGCAAAACTCTGTCTCAAAAAAAAAAAAAAATACAATTAGCTGGGCGTGGTGGTACATGCCTTTAATCCCAGGTAACTCGGGAAGCTGAGGCAGGAGAATCGCTTGAACCTAGGAGGCGGAGGTTGCAGTGAGCCAAGATCGCACCATTGCACTCCAGCCTGGGCAACAAGAGCAAAACTCAGTCTCAAAAAATAAAAAATAAAAAATTAACCAGGCATGGTAGTGCATGCCTGTAGTCCCAGCTACTTGGGAGGATCACTTGAGCCCAGTAGGTAGAGGTTGCAGTGAGCTGAGATGGCGCCACTGCACTCCAGCCTGGGCTACAGAGCCAGACCCTATCTCATTTCTTTATCAGTGAGTTTGAACAGCTTTTCATAAGATATTGGCTATCTTCCTTCTTCTCTATTCATTTCCTCTAGTTTTTTATGCTGTGTTGCTTGTCGTTTTAAATTTTAAGGAAATTAGTACTTTTCCCCAAATATATGATATAGCTTTTGGCCTTGTTTGTTTGTAATTATTTTGGCCACAAGGAAGTTTTAGTTTTATCTAAGTAAATGTTAATGTCATCCTTTATGCTCATTGATTGTATACTTTCGTCTACTATTTTAATCGTTTTTAATAGTTTCACCATTACACCTTTAAATCTTTGATCCATTTGGAGTGTTTGTTGGTGTAAGGCATGGAGTAGGAAACTGTCTTTTTTTCCAAGTGACTACTCAGTTGTCCCAGCACCATTTAGTGAGTAATCATGTTTTGCATGCCTATTGGAAATGACTTTTTTATCCTTACCATTAGTATCATTCGTCTCCCAACTATGAGCCAGGATTTAGGGCCTTCCTTAGTGGGAGGCTTCATGGGCTGTTTGATGAACATCGGGTATTGAAAGATAAGGAAAAGGTGCAGAGGGAACGAAAGTTTGAAACTGCTGATGTATGGGTGGTCATGACTTGAGGTGAGCACTCGAATGCCTTGACCCCAGTGAGGAACGCCACTGAGGCTGTGTCCTGAGTCCTACCGATCCCACACTTTTGCTTAAATTACACACCACACGGATGCTCACAAACATGAGGCTTGCAGTGTAACCAAGCCATAAAAATGGTGAAAGAGGAAAGGATTTGTTTTCTAACAGCTATGTTTCTATGCTATTTGCCTAAGGCTTTTAATACAGCAATAGTACACTTCTTTCCACGAAAACATTATAAACAATATACAAGCAGGACAGCTCTTCTGATTAAAAGCAGTCTAGAGATCCTCTTGCTCCCCTCCTGCGTTAGGCCCTGACATCCACCCGGAGCTCTGAGGGCTTGGGGAGCACAGCGTGCAGACCTTGAGTCTGAGAAATCTAAAGTAAGGAAACAATAATCCAATGTACTAGGAAGAGGTACTACATCTGTAAGATTTATGAGAGTTTGTGGGGTGGGTACTCCAAGAGGAAATAAGCTTAGTGTTAACTATTCATGACTGCCAGTTCTCTGCCAAGGACAGGAAATTTCAGATTTACTCCCAGGAAAGGAACAGGAATGAATAGCATTCCCAAACCGTGGATGGCAAGCCGTGGTCCTCCTCCACCCACCCCCCAGCAATGTTCTTTGTGTACATTTGAGCAAGTCATTTTGTATAAGAAAGACCTTTCTTGATATGACTGGTATTTCTCTTGTTCTTCAGCTTTATGAAAACCTCAGAGAAAACTTGGTTCAGGACATTTCTTAGTTAATGATTCAAGCATCACCTGAACAGATCAACTGAAGTAACAAAGCACTGTATTGCCATTTTATAGCATCCTTACATTTCCAAGGACACAGCTGTCCCAAAGAATTCTTACCCATGGGCTGAAGAATTTGCATTAATCTAAAGCCAAGCTCTCAAGGAAGCTGTGTGCATTTAGGAAACATCAGAGGATTAATGGAACCTCCTAGCCTGCTGCCTCCCAACTTGGCCTTGTTCCCTACAGCACAAATTAAAGTCAATAGCTTGCTTAATATGAGTCTCACCCTTCTCAGCCTTCTCCATATTTTCTCTCTTAGATCTTACCATGAGGGGTTTTACTTACTGTTAACTTTTCTGTCTTAGTTAACACCGTGAGGGGTTTTACTTACTGTTAAAGAATGCTTGTAAAGTGTGGGTTAACTGTGCTAAGAAAGTAATCTTTATTCTTGAGTTTGGATAATGAACTACTTTTGGCAGATCTTTGATGTTTTCAGAGATGCTAGGGTTAGAATTTCCAGATCCTTATTTTCCAGGCTAACAATTAAATTAATAAGTTATAACATTTTAGTAGTTTATAAACGCATAGGAAAAGGACTAGATAGACACTAATGTCAAAAGGGAGACACAGAAAAGAGAATGATTGTGTTTTATCTCTCCGGTGTCTATAATCTTTACAATGAGAATGTGTTTTATATTAAATAATTGTGTAATAAAAATTCAAACAAATTTTATTCTGGTCACAAGCATGCTTTCTGCTCTGTCCCAAACAACAGAAATGACTCACATTCTCTCTACTATGTTCACTGAGCTCATCACACTCTGCCTTTTTAAAACACCTTTTGATACAAAACTTTTTGCAAATTTAATTTTTTTTAAATAACCTGCTGACTCACTGGTTTGTAATAGAGGACAAAGTCCTTTCTAGATCCTCGAATTCCGTGCCTGTCTCCAAGGCACATCCCCGCATCCCTTCACAGTGCTGCAGGATTAGGGAGGATTACTTCCAGCTGAGAGAGGTGGGAGGCCGGAAAGGCTCTTTCTTTTGGATGACGTTGGGAAGGAAGAAACATGGAGTTAGAAATGTTTATGTCTCCACACGTAGCCCCTTCCTGGGCAACCCTGGACAGTCTCTCTCTGCCAAGGTGACCATTGTACTTGCAAATTTACCTAACCTGTTGACTGCCTGTGTTACATTTACTATGAACCAGCTAAAGTTCAAAATTAACTTTTGATCATTAACTGACTTACAGTTTGAATCAAAAAAAATAAAAAGAGGAAATGGCCACGTAAAAGGAAATACAGCTTGATTTCATTTTTTTCTTGTTTTATTTGATGAACTAAGTTGTCCATTCTTCGGGAGCTCAGAATAGATATTTCCTTGTATTTTCTTTTGTATCAAATATTAAAGAGAGTTTGACCTTCTGTGCAGGTCAGAAAATTAATTAGTTAACACTGGATATTGAATATGCCACAAAGTAGACTAAAATACTTCAGATCATTTCTAGAATGAGGCAAGGCCTAAAGAAATAAATCCTCTAAATCGAGTGAGATTGGCCAAAGATACCTAGCATTTTATGGTTGACTGAAGATACCTAGCATTTTATTAACTCTTTATGACTTCTTTATCATGAGATTTGAGTCACCTGCTACTAAGACACATAAATAGATTGTTTGGCCAACAAATAACATGTGGATTAAAGTATAACTTTCAGAGGCGGAGATTCCAAGGGGTAAAAATACCACATTTGCTCAGTATTATACCACAGTGTGGTGGCACAAGGTGGCACTGTACCTGGATTAGTTTTATTTCTGTTTCCTAGTGTTGGGGGTAACTCTGGACCGCATTTTGCTGGTGGGCCTATAGTTTCTCTTCAAGTTTTTTAAAAATCTCAGTCACTAAAAAAAAAAAATTCTGTGATTCCAACATAGCTGTAAAATCTACTTATATGCCACAGTGATTTTCAGGCAAAATAAGACCCCACAAAACAGACCTCCGTTGATACAGTACCTATTATAATTAAATACTCATTCTTGTGTAATCCATTTTAATAACAACTGTAGCCACCAATATATGTGCGAGGCAAAATGCTGGGTGTTTTATTGCCATTATAACTGATAACAACAACCTTTCATGGTAGGTATTATTATCCCAATTTACAACCAAGAAAGTGACAGAGCTGATAACTGAAACCAGGTTTGTCTGGTTCCAAAGCCTAGGACTTCATAGTAGTCATTCATATCGTGGCACAGTATTTGATAAAGCTTCAGTTGCAAAGTACTTATTCTTATTGTTCTTAATAAAAGTCCATTATATGCTTGACCAGGCATTTAAATGTTTGAAAGTAGTATAATACAATACTGATTGGTTTGTCTTTTACATAAAGGTAATATTGGTTTATTTTTCCCCTTTAGCCACCAGCTAAGTACCTTCTTCCAGAGGTGACGGTGCTTGACTATGGAAAGAAATGTGTGGTCATTGATTTAGATGAAACGTTGGTGCATAGTTCGTTTAAGGTAAATCAACATAAACATCTGTGATCTTTGTGATTTGATAACAATTGTATTGGAAAAGAGAAAACAGAAAGGATGAAAGCTTATGGTGGTTAGTGTGTAACTTCACTCTTCATGTAGAAATCCCAGGAGCTGCTTATTAACCCAGGTGAACATTAACTAAAGTAGTTGAATATTAACATAGTTAGTTTGGAAAGAAACCACTAAGCTACCAACATCACTGGGACCTCATTCTTACTTAGGAGGTTTGCATTTTCCAACACTCTAACCCCTGCAGAAATACTTTTCAGGTAGCACAAGGCACTCAGTGCCCCCAGGACACTGTTTATATTTGTCAAAATGACCAGAGTGCTATGTATTTTATTGGGACGAGGAAGGGAGGCTCTGTTGGAAACTGTCAAATGACCTGGTATCCTGGAGATTTTCCCGGATCGATTTTTGAAAGATGCCCAACTCTGAAGAAGACCTTCCAGACTTCAGGGCATCTGAACAGATTCAGCCATTTAGTTTGAGCATCTTCATGACAAGAGGTGGCTGGGGTTTTTTGCAAGCTTCACAGCTAAATGAGTACCCACCATCAGGACTTCCCTCCTGAAGGGTGTGGAGGTCAGACACTCTTCCTTCCTGTCACCTTCCCTGATCTCCATCTTCCTGCTGGAAAAACAGCAGAAATGGCCTCCATGCAGGAAGAGCTGTGGTGACACTGTTAAAAAATGAGTTAACCTTTTTTTTTTTGGTTTTTGGTTTTTGGTTTTTGGGGTTTTTTTTTTGACGTGAAATAAATTGTTTAAAAGAGGCAAATGATGAAAAGTTTGGAAATAGGAGATTGGTATTTTGGGGAGAAGAAGCAGGTGTTTAGGATTCTGGTCTTGTTTTCCTTGGGTTATTTCTGGTAGTGGGACTGCTCTATCATTATACTGCATTCCTGTTTCCCCCACCAGCCTAGGACTCCCCTTCACTGAGAGACATGAAGGTCACCATCCATGATGGGACATGTGTCTCACATGAACCACAGTCATTCCTTACAAGTCGTAGGAAGCAGAAGAGCTGTCAAATATGCCTGAACACCTTTCTACCAGAAACATCCTTCTTTGTTCTTCTCACTAAACAGAGACCTTTCTGGTAGGGCAAAGCCAGAAAATTGTCTTTGAGTCCTTTGGAGAGTGGAGAAGAGACCACACTGACCTCTAGCAGTGAGAAATGGCCTTATTCTGGCCACTGGGGCATGCAGGGACCACCTTATTCCCTAGCACTTGAGGGCCAGGCCCTTCCAGAGTTGGTCCAGGGGATATGGTGACCTTGTGTCCCAGCTTAACCCTAGATAGCACTGGAAGCTGTTTCTTCCCCATGGGCAAGTTGCTCAGGACTTTTCCAAGTCTCTGTGAAGGAAAGCCCTTCAGAGCAGGGGTCGGTTGCCATCACAGCATAGAGAACTCCCTCCGAAGCAGCTATGGGAGTGTGGGCAACACTGGCCAGATCACCTGATGTTACTGAGGGTTCCTTGCTCCAAAGGCAGGGCCTTGGTAGCCCTCAGTGTCTCTAGCACTTGCTCAGAGGTCATTGATGCCACAAGCTAATGTGAATGGCATTTCCTCATTTCTTCCCTCCCCTGGCCTGCCTACATTTGCAACCAGAATATTCTTGATGGTTTTTAGAGTTCTGGGCATTTCAAAGTCTTTTGAGAATCTGAAAGCTATGAACCCTCTTCCCTTCAAAAATGTACATTTGTACAATGCATAGGTTCATGGATTCCAAGTGAAGAACCCTAGCTGTAGCAGAGTCTCCTTTACACCAGCAGGAGAGAGGAAAGTAAGGATGGTGCTTGCTGTAAGCTGGGGAATGGTTTTTCTCTTTTAATATACTCCGTGGAATATGATTCCATAATCTAATGCCTTGGGAGAGCTTCTTCCTTCAATCTTTCCTTTTGTTTTTTAGCATGATTCTGATTTTAGTTGTGAAATTATATGATACCGAACTCATCCTTGGCCTTCCAACTCTGGGAGTAAATAAACAGTGATCATAAGCTAAGTGCTTAGTAACGGTGCTATGACATAGCATTGTCCATGGTTTTTTTGTTTTTCTTGTTTTTATTTTTTAGTTTATATATCAATGAAGAGGGTTTGTGTGTACTGTGATGGGCTTAAAAGCAGACCTCAGTTCAGAGTCTGACCAGAGACGCTGTACTCCCACCCCTGCCCAGTGGCTACCACACACACCTTCTCCTTCTGTCTCTCTTCTCTTGTCCAGGGATTTGCAGGCTGATGATTCAGTTGGGCCTGTTCATTTAAGTAGTTTTGTACCTAATTTGTGGAATTTCATTGAGAACTGTGTGTAAGTTCATCATTGAGAACATAGTGACTGCTGAAGAATCATATTTGAATTTTAAATGTCATTAATATTGTCAAAGAGTTATTTAAAATATCCAGAAGTTTGTGGGTGTGCTGGATGTTGTGTTCCTTGGAGCAGAGCAGGCATAGGGTGGGCTGGCTCTGTACCTCCACCCAAGGCAGGAGCTGGTGCCAGGCTACCTGGGAGGGCCTGAATCAGGACTGATTGGGGCCATGGGCATGCATCAGACCCATCACAATAGCTAAGGAAGAGAGGAGAAACTGAGGTCCAGGGAGAGGAAGAGCCTGCCCAAGGGCATGGCCTGTGGCCTCTGACTTTACCCCCACATGGCCTTGGCACTGTTTTGAGCAGCCCATCACAGGGCAGCCCCTAGTCGTGGTTCCAAGTACAAATAGTTTTCCCTCAAGCAACACTGTCCTCTGAGCCCATCACATACTCAGCTCCTCCCCCTGGCGGCTAGCAGTGATTCCCCATCACCCCAGCAGGACTCTGGGCAAGAAGTGGAGTTTTCAGGAGCCCCATCCTCTAGCCAGGCAGTGCCACACTTTTTGGTTGAGGCCAGGCAGGTGATATTGGACCAAGATGCTGAAAATGTAATGACATTCACAGTGGAAAATAATGTGCTTTCCTGCTTGTGCTTATTTTAAGGAACCAAGGCATGCTTCAGCATCCTCCTCCTGAACTGTTTTTTCCAATAACCAAAACATTGGTCCAGGCAAGCTTTTTTCTTGCTAAAATTTCCAGGCTTTTTTGTTCCTTCAGATATATTAATTATAGTCTCTTTTTTCTCTAGCCTATTAGTAATGCTGATTTTATTGTTCCGGTTGAAATCGATGGAACTATACATCAGGTAAGAAATTGAAGCTAAATTTGAGTTACAATTAAGATTTTTTAGTAATTACATTTCCTATGAACTTTATTTCTAAATTCTCATTTCAGTAATGATTCCTTATTACTGAATCAAAAGGAAGCATACTGTAATAAATACAATATTCTTCTTTTTTTCACTCCAATGAATTTATTTTATACTGAGATTATAAGAAAAACTGTAGTCGTAAATATTAGATGTGGTTACAAGTTCAAATAGTTCTTTGATTTGAAGCAGACTTTCAGAAGTTTCCATATCCCCCACTGGCCTAGCTTGATGGTCTAATTAACTTCCTTGTGTAATTGCTTTCGGCGACTCTCCTAGCAGGCAACAGGAAAATGCCACAAGTCACCCACTTATGGTGGATTCTCGGGAAAAAGTGTCCATTTTCAATGCCAGCTGCTCCAGACTGATCTTGTCATTCCCGCATCGTTTTCTCCAGAGAATCTTTAGCAAATACCCAACCCAAAAGAAAAGGGGGGAAGGGTGTAAGTTTTCAGATCCGCAGGCTGCTATGAATAAAGATGTCGTAGTCAGTTGGCATGCATCTTCGTTGCTTCTGTTTTTTTCCCTTATCTGCATAAAGCTCTTCTGGAAATAGCTTCATTTATGAACAAATTGGAAACGCTGTAGGAAAACTAGCCTTAGAGGTTGAAGCTGGGGGGCTTTTGTGAGGTTTTCCACAGGGATGATCTAACCATATTCCTTGTCAAGTCCAAGGTCTTAAAGGGAGTATCTGGCCTGATATCCCAGGAAAGAGACTTTCCTGGTACTTGAGCCACAACGGGATATCTTTTCTTAGCAATGTCAGTAGTCTTTGGTTCTTGAGTGCAAGGTGTCAGAACTCGGGAAAGCTTGGGAACCAGCTGGTCTAGCTGCCTCATTGTCTAGATGGAGAAACTGAGGCTTTGCCAGGGAAGGGGTTGGTTCAAGGTCACACAATGGGAAGAATTAAAATGAAAATTCCAGTCTCCTGCCTCCTGGCCCAGGGCTTTTTTCCTGATACTCAAGTCCCTTCCCTCCCTTGTCCTTGCTTTCTTGCTTATTCTCCAGGATGTCCTGCCAGGAAACAGTCCCCAGGAGAGGCAGCTTTTTCCCTAGTGTTTCCACACTTCATGCTTTTAAAAGCCATCACAGAGCCAAAACGGCAGGCACTTGGGCATTTAACATTTGCAAAAGCATCAACTGAATTAACTCAGCATCTGAGAAGCAGTTAAGGCTTCTGCATTTATCATCTTGGCTTGTGTTACATAGTGCTCATGATGAGACAAAGGAGAGGCTGCCCAATGGCATGTCAAGAATTAGGAGAGAAATTAATCCTTTGTACCACGTGACTGTAAGCATGACCAGCCTGCCCACTGCTGACCCATTCTTGCAGGAGCCACTGTAGCTCCCCCACCCTCCATCTTGGCTGTGCTGTGATATCACAAGGTCCCAGGGCTGGGGTCAGAAATTCTCTCCTGAGGGAATGAAGCCACAGGAGCCAAGAGCAGGAGGACCAAGGCCCTGGCGAAGGCCGTGGCCTCGTTCAAGTAATCCAGGATAGGCTGTGCAGGTCCCAATGGGCCTATTCTTGGTTACTTGCACGGGGACGCGGGCCTGGACGCCGGCATCTGGGCTCAGGACCCACGTCTCTGCCAGAGGCACCAACACCAGAGTTCCCAAATCAGTCTCCTGCCCTTTGCATGTAGCAAAGCTTGCTTTCCAAGCAGGACTCCCAGGGAGACGGAGGACTACAGGCCACACCTGTTTGCTGGCAACGAGGAGTCTTGTGGGCACAGTGGGAGTCTGGAGCTGTTGCAGCCACAGGCCCTGCCCTCAGCCCTTCCCCAGCCTCCCAGCTCCTCAGAACTGTGCTGGTATCCATGCTATGACATCCTGTTCCTCCAGCCCCTCGCTCCACCCTCAGCCACAAACCCATGTTGACCTCCTTCTTTCAGTCATCCATGAATTTCTCCCTGAGTCCTGGCCCTCCTGAGCTCCTGCTTCTGGCACCTTGAAAATGCCTTGGTTCTGTGTAGAATTCCTTAGCCAGCAGCACGCCCAGCATGTGGTGCAGAGCCCCCATCTATCTCCCCTCTGCTGCTGCTCCTGTCATTCTCACCTGCTCCATCTGCCATTCAAGGCCCTAACGTGCCCACCATGACCTGCCTCTCACTTCATCTTCAGCCACTTCCTCTCCCAGCCCCTGCTGCTCCTGCTTCTCTCACTGCCTCTGATGGCTGGGCACACAGCCTGGCTACTCTCTAACATCTCAAGTATTCTCAGGCCTCGGGTCTCGCGCTCTACTGTTTCCTCTGCCTGGAAGCCCACTTCTTGTCATCCTTATTGGCCTGGTGAACTCCTATTTATCCTTCAAGGTCCAGGCCAAATGTTATCTTCTATGATCCCCTCTCCTTGTGAGGGGAGTTAATTGTCCTTAATTTATCCCTCTACTACAACTTTCATTATGTCATGTTTATTTTTATATGTTTTTGCCTATGTCTGTTCTAGAGTGTGAGCTCTTCAAGGGCAAGGCCTGTGTTTTATTCATCTTTGCAACTACATCAGACTGAGCTCAGAGCTGGGGCTCAGTAAATATGCTGAATTGAATTTTAAAGAGTTTGATTTATTTTAGTGAAGTGGCTAATTTCAAACGGAATTTATTCAAGTTTGAATTAGTTTTTCCCTCCTCCCACTTCCTCTGTCTTCTCTCACCAGCTTTGCCTTCTCTCCCATCTCCCTTGTTTCCCCAGATTCATTCAGGCTCCCTAATCAGGAGCCAATGTATGGTCTGAAGCCTGGCCTCCTCACTTCTACCCCGGCCTAGCCTGGGCAAAAGGGTACACAGAGCCCAGCCATTCTAGAAAACACTACTCTTTGCACCTCTCTGCTCAGAGACCCCTCCTGATGGGTTATGTCTGGGGTCCAGAAATAGGATGGTTTCATATCCCCTGAAATGTACCAAGCCCAGCCTTTATGGTGTCATAGACATCTTCCCAAGCTGACAAGGAAGCCCCTTCTTGCAGCTTTGCTGGGCCTGTGCTTCAACCCCAGACCTTCCTAGTAAGGGGGATGTCCATCCAGAACAGAAGGTGGCAACCAGAGCAGTCCCAGACCTGCTGGGCAGTAGGCTGGGCCTGGACCTCTAAAAGGACAACACCCAGACCATGGCCTGTACCCACATAGGTCCTGACCTTCAGCAGGTGCCAAGAAACACACGTGAAATGAATCAGTCATTACACACAAACATGGTACAACCCTTCTACTTGCTGGCCCTGAATATCCCCAAGACCCTCACACCATGGTCAGCTTCTCTTTTTCCCTTAGGAGGGGCGTCTGCAGTGAACTCAGACCTGGAGCCCTGTCCGAGGAGTGCCACGTCTGACTCCATAGCCCCTCATACAGTCTGGGCCTCTGCCTGCTGTGCATAGACCTGGAGGAGGGAGGCAGGAACCTTAGTAGCAGTTCTTCCTACAGTGGGCATTTGGGCCCCGGGCCATCCCCAGTAACTGCCACACCTGACCAGCCTGCTGTCTCCTGCCATTGCAGGTGTATGTGCTGAAGCGGCCACATGTGGATGAGTTCCTCCAGAGGATGGGGCAGCTTTTTGAATGTGTGCTCTTTACTGCCAGCTTGGCCAAGGTGAGTCCTGCTTCCCAGCCCCACACTCGCAGCCCCTCCACCCCTACCCCCAATCTGTCAAGCAGCCCTTTGTTTTGGTGGGGGAAGCTATTTCTGTGGTGACAGGTTCCCACCCCAGATGGGATGGATGCCGGCCATGTGCATGGTGGCAGCCTGAAAGCCTTCTGGGTTACCATGGTGACAGGGAGCACTTAGAACAAACGCTCCATGATGTTGCTGTATGCAGCCACCTGAAGCTGGGTGTCCACAGTCCAGAGAATCACAAACAGGTCCAGTGTAACAGACAAAGGATGGTGTACCCCTCAACCATTGACTGTCCACCAAATGCTAGAGGCCCCTGTGTCCTTGGGTTTTGCTTCCACAGATTTGAGGGAGAAGCAAGTGAGAGATAAGTGTTGGGCACTCACCCACATGCATGGGCTGAATGAGAGTACCGACTGCCCTAATGAGCTGTATGATCTGAGGCAAGTTACTTCACTTCTCAAGTCGGTTTCTTCTATAAATTGGGGATAATTCCATTCACCTTGTGGCTAGATCACATGAAATAACAGATGTAAAGGACTTAGCACAGTGTCTGACTCACATACAGCAAGTATTCATTGAGCACTTGCTGTGTTCCACATAATGTGGTGGGCATTGTCACGTGGTAAACACTCCTGATGTTCATTATTTTGTGTTACAATTATTTATTGATGATGATAGGCCGGGCGTGATTGTTCACACCTGTAATCCCAACACTTTGGGAGGCCAAGGAGGGTGTATCACTTGAAGTCAGGAGTTCAAGACCAGCCTGACCAATATGGTGAAACCCCATCTCTACTCAAAATACAAAAATTAGCTGGGCATGGTGGCGGGCACCTGTAATCCCAGCTACTCGGGAGGCTGAGGTACGAGAATTGCTTGAACCCAAAAGGCAGAGGTTGCAGTGAGCTGAGATCGCACCACGGCACTCCACCCTGAGCAACAGTGACTCCATCTCAAAAATATGTATACATATATTTGTTGATGGTAATAAAATCATTCAGACATGTCTTGATCCTAAAGCTTGATATGAATCTGACCTAAAATCTACACTGGCTCTGACCAAAAAGAATGATTTCTTTGTCCTCTCCACTGTTTAAGGAAACTAGCAGATTCCCAAGCCTCCCAGTATGGTTTAGTGTTCCCCTTCACAGGTGTGGCAGGGTGCCCATGCTGTGTGGGCAGGCAGGATAGGCCTTGCTCCTCCCAGAAGATCCTTGCCTTGACCATTTCCCAAACTCTGACTTTGATGGGGCTGACACCATCCATTTGTTGGTAGCACCACAGTTGTCTCCATGGGCATCTCAGGGACCCTGAGTGGTCCCAAAGATGAGTTTTCTGGGGCTCAGGTTAGCCATTTGCCTGTCTCCAGGACATCACACAGTAGCTTCCTCTGCCATGTCCTGCTCCTGGATGGTGCCCTGGTGCCCACACTCCCTTCTCTTCCTCTGCGTGTTCCACTGCTTTGCTGGCCTGGCCATTGCTGGTTGGGTCCCTCTTTGTGATGCTGGAGGGGAGCGAGAGCCCCCCACTTGCACAAATGCTGCCAGACTCATCACCAGACCTTAGAGCATAAGCCAATGGAGTGGGATTCAAAATCCTGGCCCTTATTTTTGCATGTCAAAAAGAGAACAAGGCCTCAGGGAAAATAGAATCTTCCCCAGTGGGTAATCTTTCAGATGAGTGGTACCAAGACTAATTGTTATCTGTAGCGTCAGTGGCTCTTCCAGCAGTGCTCTGAGATGCTGAAGAGCCTGAAGTAATAACCAAAGAAATAAACAAGAAGATTGCACCGGTAGCAGTGAAGTGAGAGCTGGTTTTTGTTTGGGAAAATTGAAAACACTCTTCCTTGGCATTGTCCCCAGCATTTGCTTAAACATCCTTGTTCGGTTTCTCTTCCTGGATGGCTCCCACCTGCCCCTCCATCTGTCTCTTCAACCCTTCTCTTGCTGCTACTCCAGCCTAGCTGAGCCGAATCAGCTTCCAAGTGCAGCCTTCCACCCTCTTTCCTCCCTGATGCACATGTCCTGCTGATGGGTAGTCATGTCCCTGTCCTTGGCTCTGGGCTCGGCTCCCAGCCAGCAGTAGTGGTGCAGTGGACCTCCTTGCCTGCTGCCCAGGAGCCTGCAGGAACCTCAAGCTGACTATCATAGCCTTTCAGTATCTGCTTCTTTGTCATTTCTTCCTTCATTCACCCAGCAAATACTTACTTAGTACCTATTATGTATCAGGCACAGTACTAAATCCTGGGGATATAGCAAAGAAGAAAAGAGACAAAGTCCCTGCCCTTGTGAAGCTTACATTCTTCACATTCATCCTCCCAGCCTCAGACTCAGACTCTTTCTTGAAAGATAGGTGCCACCACAAGTGTTCATGATTATGAGGAAATGGATCATCTTTTTCTATTTAGAGAAAGCTTGTCCAGCCTGTGACCTACAGGCTGTGTACAGCCCAGAACAGCTTTAGATGTGGCCCAACACAAATTTGTAAACTTTCTTAAAACATGAGATTTTTTTTAAAGCTTGTCACCTATTGTTAGTGGTGGTGTTTTATGTGTGTCCCAAGACAATTCTTCCAATGTGGCCCAGGGAAGCTGAAAGATGGGATACCCCTGATCTGGACTCAGTTGCCCACAACCCACCCACGTGGCCCCTGGCTAGTCTCACCAGCAGGTAGCTGTAGTGCCCTGAGCTCTCACCTCCCTTGGCCAGTAGGAAACACAGCTGCTCCTGGACTCTGCCTTCTACAGGATGTCCTTGGAGAGGAGAGGATGTTCCCATGGAATCACAGCTGCTGCCTGCAGCTCTGCAGCCCACGTCCCACAGCTGTGCCAGCACTTGCTCTGCACTCCACTGCTGGCCTTCCCAGCGCCACCAGCCACAGGTGCTCTCTGCCTCCCTGGCAGAGTCACTGGGTCCCGCTGATGCCTGGTTGTACCCCTTACTTGGTCTTTGTGCAGGGGCCTGGCCTCGTGTCAGGCTTGGAAACTGCTCCTCTTTCTTCCAGGCCCAGCCACTCAGTATGGTCCATTCTTTTAGGTATCTTCAGTTATGAGGATTTTCTCTCAGAAACCCCTTTGTTTCTTTATCCAAGCCTGCTTTGGGGGAAATTCCCTAGGTCATGAGAGAGGGGTCAGGCAGGATGATCCCCAACTGTAAGCTGGGCTCAAATTCCCATCCAGCTCCTGGGCTTCAAGGAAGTGGATGGGCATCCATGGGAGTGGATGGCTGGGCACCATCCTGTCACTCAGCAGCTGGTCTGGCCCAAGGTACCTCTAGGGGGCAGTGTCATGCCATTCAAGACACACTGGAGCCAGCTCATTCATTCAGTGGTGAAATTCGTGTTTACTGAGCCCCTGTTGTGGTAGGTTCTCTTGGAGGTGCTAGGGATGTGGTGGTGGGATGTTTCAGGCCTGGGCCCTGACAAGTAGTGAGGAAATCAAGCAATCCCATGTGGTGCTCTACTCTGTGAGGGAAACAACCCAGAAAGGAAGATAGAGGTGGCTCTAGATGGATGGGAGAGGAAGTCAAGACTGAAAAACCAGGAGACAAATGCTCTGCAGGAGCTGGGAGGGAACGCATGCAGAGAGAACGCGGTGCAAAGGTCCTGACCATGCTTGAAGCCAGCGTGGCTCCAAGAGCTCCAGATGGAGACCATTCAGCTGTGGCCATGTGGGACGCGGCAGTGAGGAACGTGGGCTTTACTCCAAGTGCAGTGTGTAGACAGTGGAGTTTTCAGCAGAGGAGTGACACGATCGCACATACGTTTTCCAGTGGCCACTCTGACAGCTTCTAGGTGAATGGGCCAGAAAGGAGGCCCCCTGGGAAAGACAGGTTTTTCACGAGGCTCACACAGCCATCCCAGGCCAGAGATTCAAGGCCCGGGCTAAGGGTGGTGGCAATATAAATAGAGAGATGCAAATGGAGTCAGGCTATTTTTGGAGATGAAACTGACAATTTCTGATGGGTTGGATGTGAGAGAAATGGAAGAATCCAGTGCCATCTTATGTATACAGAGAGGAAAATAACCAGGATCCTAAAACACATCTAATTATTAAATCCCTTTTTAAAAAACATAATCTGGATCTTGCTGCTGTAGGTCAGGGTTTGGGGACTCTTTTAGGCACGCAGTCTTCATTGTGACACTTCTTTTCCAGTATGCAGACCCTGTGGCTGACCTCCTAGACCGCTGGGGTGTGTTCCGGGCCCGGCTCTTCAGAGAATCATGTGTTTTTCATCGTGGGAACTATGTGAAGGACCTGAGTCGCCTGGGGCGGGAGCTGAGCAAAGTGATCATTGTCGACAATTCCCCTGCCTCATACATCTTCCATCCTGAGAATGCAGTAAGTGGCCCCAAAGAAAGAAAATGTCATGCTCCGTCTGAGCCCTCTGTCTTGCCAGGCAAGCACCACTTTTAAGCACCTACAAAAGAAGGTCTCTGGGTCTTTTCCAAATGAAATCCCAGCTCTGCTATTTAGCAGTTGCACGTCATTGAGCAAGTTATGTAACCTCATTGAGCCTCGGTTGCCTCATCTGTCAAATGGGAATTATAGGAATGCTGATCTCATAGGATTATTGGAGGTTGCAGTGTGGCAATATACAAAAAGCACTTAGAACAGTGCTTGAGACTGATAAATGCTATAAGCCTGTATCATCTTATCAATATTTTTAGTATTGTTATTGACAAGGGTTCTGTTGGCATTAACCTCCTGGAGCCAGCTACTGCCTAGGACTTCATGACCCCTGTAGACTAAGGAGGCCTGATTGATCTCTTTAACAGAAGTATTTCTTAAGAATGAATAGGCCAGGCTTGGTGGCTCACGCCTGTAATCCCAGCCCTTTGGGAGGCCGAGGCGGACGGATCACGAGGTCAGGCGATCGAGACCATCCTGGCCAACATGGTAAAACCCCGTCTCTACTAAAATACAAAAAATTAGCTGGGCATGGTGGCATGCACCTGTAGTCCCAGCTACTCGGGAGGCTGAGGCAGGGCAATCACTTGAACCCAGGAGGCAGAGGTTGCAGTGAGCTGAGATCCCACCACTGCACTCCAGCCTGGTGACAGAGGGAGACTCCGTCTCAAAAAAAAAAAAAAATGAATAAAACACTTCAATAAGGTCTTCCAATGAGGCTACCAAGCTTTGCTACCTCATCATGATGTCTAAAAAGCACCCATCGGGAACATTTCCTACATAAAGCTCCCGGACCATGGCAGCTCTCGGTGCCTACTCACCGGGTGCCACACAACTCTCAGGCCCAGAGGGACTGCCTTCCTGCCTCTGCCCGACACTTCCAGGGGAAGAGCGGCCAACCAGGGCCTCTGGTGACTGCCGACCCCTCAGTCACTGCCACATCAGGCCCCTAGACCAGGCATGTTTCCCTGGAGAGGATGCTTCCTCTCAAGCACAGGCTTCTCAGATTCTACAAGAGCCTGCAAAAGTCCTTTCCTTGAATCCAGAACTCTGCAGTCCTGCTTGTAACCAAAAACAATTCCAACGCGATTCATTTGGCTAGTGTGGAATCATTATTTGAATAAATACTCCAAATGTATTTATATGTAAATATGTTCATTTTACTGAGGAAATCAAATTCAACATAATATATTTGGTAACGTGTCTCTAACGGATAAGGATTCCTTTTTAATATAATCACAAGTCATGGTCAGATCTGACAAAGTAACAGTTTCTTACATTGTCTAATATCCAGACTGTTCACATTGTCGCTGTCATCTCGAAGTGTCATGCATTTGGAGTATTTCAGTGGGGATCCAAAAAGATCCATGCATTGCTTTGGTTACCATGTCTCTTCATTCTTTTGTAAACTTAACGTCTCCCTTTCCTCCCTTTTCTCTTTTATGCCATTTATTTGTTGGAGAAGCCCTGGTGTTTTGTCTTGTAGAAATCTCCTACATTCTGGATTTGTCCAGCTGCTGCCTTGTGATGATGTTTAATATGTTTTTATAGCCACCTGATATCCTCTAAACAAGTAATTAGAGCTCTACTGCTTGATTAGATTTTTTTTTCTTTTTTTTGCAAGAATATATCATACAGGCCAGATGCAATGGCTCACACCTATAATCCCAGCACTTTGGGAGGCCAAGGCAGGTGATCGCTTGAGACCAGGAGTTTGAGACCAGCCTGAGCAACATGGCAAGACCCTATCTCTTAAAAAAAGAAAAATTAGCCGGATGGGGTGGCACACACCTGTGGTTCCACTGTGGTTCCAGCTACTTGGGAGGCTGAGGTGGGAAGATCTCTTGAGCCCAGGAGGTCGAGGCTGCAGTGAGCCATGTTCATGCCACTGCACTTCAGCCTGAGTGACAGAGCAAGACCCTATCTCAAAAAAAAAGAAGAAAAAAGAATACATCATAGGTATTATATGCTTATGAAGATATATCAGGAGGCATAAAATGTCAGGTTACCCCACTTTTAAAGATTTAAAATTGATTATTAGGTTCAGGTGGTATTAGCCTGATCCATCTATTATAAAATTCCCCATGAACCTCTCACCTCATAATTTTAGCAGTTGTTGGTGATCATTGTCTACACCCACTATTTCATGAGGAATTGCAAAATGGCAATTTCTATTTTCAGACTAATGAGTTGGTGTCCTAGCAGCCTCCAAAAGTAGCCAATAATTTTTTTTTAGTATCATTATGAACTCATGGATTTGTTGTAGTTTCAGCCCATTTGTTATTCTTTTGCATGCTCAAATTTTCACCTTTGGCTATGGAGATCCCTTAAAATAACAAGTCTTTGATATAGGTTGAATATTCTTTATCTAAAATGCTTGGTACCAGAAGTGTTTTGGATTTTGGATTTTTTAGGATTTTGGAATATTTGCATATACATAATTGGATATCTTGGGCATGGAACCAAGTCTAAACATGAAATTCATTTCTGTTTTATGTACAACTTGTACACATAGCCTAAAGGTAATTTTATACAATATTTTTTATAATTTGGGGACACTAAATAAACCATGTATCATGTGCCTGCATTTTCACTACCACCCAGCACATGAAGTCAGGTATAGAATTTTCCACTTGTGGTGCCATGTCAGTGCTCAAAAAATTTTGGATTTTGGGGCATTTTGGAACTCAGATTTTTTCAGATTAGGGATGCTCAACCTGTAGCTTCCTTGCTTTCTTAAACAACAAGATGTTCCAGGCTCTTCATGAACATTTCTTGCCTCAGCCCTGGAACCACCCATTTTTGTATGGTGCCTGGTTCCTATTAGTGGAAGTGGTATTTAGAGACCACGGTTTAGGTGAATTTTCATTGCTAATGGAATATACTTTACTTCTAGCCCATACCTCAGGGCAGAGCTAAAAATGACATATTTTTAGAAAGAAAACTAAATCATAAGTTCATACTGGTTTTTCCATTTCAATGTTAAGTTTTTATGTAACTTCTTCGGTTCTTTGTTTTGTATTTGTATCTCTTTATCTTATGCTGCAACTCTTGATTTCTAAAGATATTAACATAATTATATATTTGATTTATTCTGTAGTATATGTTGAATAATTTCAGTAGCAGTACTAAATTATGACTAATAATAAGACAACTGTATGCAGCTTAGGAATTTTCAGAGAGATGTACAGTTATAACACCATGTTTTAAAATCACTTGAATACCAGGCTTGGTGGCTTACCTGGCTGCCTGTAATCCCAGCACTTTGGGAGGCTGAGGAGGGAGGATTGCTTGAGCTCAGGAGTTTGAAACCATCCTGGGCAACAAAGCAAGATCCCATCACTACTTAAAAAAAAAAAAAAAAAAGAAAGGCTGGGGGTGGTGGCTCACACCTGTAATCCCAGCACTTTGGGAGGCCAAGGGGGTGGATCACCTGAGGTCAGGAGTTCAAGACCAGCCTGACCAACATGGCGAAACCCTGTCTCTACTAAAATACAAAAACTAGCTGGGCATGGCAGCAGGCACATGTAATCCCAGCTACTCAGGAGGCTGAGGCAGGAGAACCCAGGAGGTGGAGGTTGCAGTGAGCCGAGATCACGCCACTGCACTCCAGCCTGGGCAACAAGAGCAAAACTCCGTCTCAAAAAAAAAAAAAATTAGCCAAGCATGGTGTCACATGACTATAGTCCCAGCTACTTGGGAGGCTGAGTGGAAGGATCACTTGAGCCCAGGAGGTCAAGGCTGCAGAGCTATGATTGTACCACTGCACTCCAGCATGGGAGACAGAGTGTGACCCTGTCACACACGCACACAAATCACTTGAAGTAATTGTGTGGTTGTGTCACCAATTTTATATACACTTAGATTGACTTTTATTGCTTTTTTTCTTAATGGTTTAATTGTATTTTAATTTATAACACATTTACATGGTTCCAACATCAAACCTATAAATAAAGATAGAGAAGTCTGTTCATTTCTGCCTCTCCTCCACTCTCTCCCCATCCCCTAGGCGTAGTCATTTCTTTTATTAACCCTTACTTTATTTTTCAAAATTATGTAATAAATGTCTGTGTTTCTAAGCTATCTTTAGATTTGAAAAAGGGCTAAAATGTTACTTTTAAACATGTTTGGTTTATTCAAATTTGTTTATAAATCTCTTCTTTGTACCCCTGGCTACCACCCCTCGCCACTCCTCTGCCTAAAACTAAGGGAAAATCCTGTCTTTGCCCATAGCTTCAGAATGTTCTACAATTTTAGACATCTGCTTTTAACTAACCACTGTTAAGCAAGGGAGGAAATTTACCACTTCTCTTTGTGATGTAATATTGCACAGTGACCCTAAGTGAAAGCCTTCTTGTGTCCTGGATGTGAGCTCCCCGCTGTCAGTGGTTAGCATGTAACCTCTGACTCCCAAGTGCTCTGAGGTGCAAGGAGCCGACTTGTGCAGTAGAAAGAGCTTTTGGAAGTTGGCAAGTAGCAAGGCTAGTTCTCATACATTCTATGCTATGCTCTGGCCACCTTTTTTGTGGCAGGAAAACAAAACAGGCAAATGCATACAAACTGGGTACATTTAACTTTGCCTCCCTGAGCCATCTCCCAAGCCATTTAGCTTTGGATCGGCCTCGATTTGAACAAGGGAACAAACAAAATGATGATGATAACGATGATGACACCAGTTGTCCTTACCAAAGAAAATGCTCGAAGTCCGGGTACCCACTTAGGTTAGGAGCAGCCCCCAGCGCTAGATGCAGTCCTGCTGCCTCCTCCATGCACTGTCTTCCAGGTGCCTGTGCAGTCCTGGTTCGATGACATGACGGACACGGAGCTGCTGGACCTCATCCCCTTCTTTGAGGGCCTGAGCCGGGAGGACGACGTGTACAGCATGCTGCATAGACTCTGCAATAGGTAGCCCCGGCCTCTGCCTGCCTCCCGCCTGTGCACTCTGGAACCTCTGGCCTCAGGGGACCTGCCTGTCCTCAGCTCCCTGGAAGCTGAAAGTGAGGATACTCCGTGCTCCACGCCACAGGGTGAATGTGGCCATGCCTACCTGTTTTGTTTTTTTAAGAACAGAAACAACTATTTTAAAAGAACTCTTTTAACAAATTTCATAAAGGGACATGCATTTTACTGGATTTGCTTTTCTTAAAACATACCAAAAAGAAAAAAATAGGAAAAAAAAAAAAAAAAGCTTGATCTCTATCAGACTTCCTTTCAACTGTCCTCCCTTCCAAGCAGACCACCTGTCCCCTTCTATCCCAGCTCGGAGCAGCTGACCCAACTCAGAATCTCTTTCCTACAGGATGAAGTGCCTTTTGAATGTTATTTTAAGCTGAGAGTTAATTTTTCTACACAACATATTTCCAGACATCGTTTAGTCTTTTATTGTCTTAGATACTATAAGAAGATGAACATGACAATTTTCTAGAACCTGGTTGTGTGTGTGTGTGTGTGTGTGTGTGGCGGGGGGTGCTGAGGGAGGGGAGTGAGTCACAGGAGCCTGTCCCCCAACAGGTGTGACTTTGCTCTGACAACCTGTGGCATGCTGCAGGGTCAGGCTCCTGATAGGAGGATTTCATGACTATGTCATTGTCTCCGCTCATTTTTGACCCAGTTTGGAATGTATCTGCAATTGTGTCGCTCAACACTTTAGGAAACAATAGATTATTTTATATTATTATTTCTGATGGTGACAACTTTGTCTTGAGGTCACATTTTCCCCTTGAAAAGTGACATCCTGTCCGTTCTGCTCTTACACTACTGCCATACATTTGTGTTTTTTGTTGTTATTGTTTGGGGTAGAGCAGTTACAAGAAACCCTAAAACCTTTGGATATAAAAGAAATCTGTGTATTGATTTTTAAATCTTTCCTTTCCAAAAGCTGGATACATATGGAGCTGTTTGGGAATTTTCCTTGCTGCTACCGCGCTGCCACCAAATGGAATTGACCAGCGGCTGTTACACTGTTCTTTGCCACTGTGCCTATGCTCAGAATATGCTCACTGCTAAGCTACAAACTCGGACAGGGTCAAAAACAGAGGTGTCCCACCCCATTGCAGCCTCCACCACCTGTAACCCTTTCCTGGCATTGGCCACTGAGGGGTACAAAGGCAAAAGGGCCAAAGCACCACTTAGGTGTGGCATGGATTTTAAACCGCAGTCAGTAACAGATCCTGTTTGATAAATAAGCTGACTGTTCTCTCTTGAGAACCCGTGGCCTCAACCAGCCACCAAGCTGGTGTGGCCCAAGTCCGTCTCTTGGTCTTCTCCTTTGAAGCACAGCCTATTTCTGAGCCAAGGGTTGGGGAAGCCTGTCTAGATGTGGGACTCAATGCCCCAAACCGGGGAGAGGAAAGCCTTCCTCCCCGCAGGGAGAGCCCAGGCTCTCTGCAACCTTTCCCAGTTTGGTGTTTAAGCAGTGCCATGTTCCTTGTTTGACAACAAGACAGTCTGTCAAGTATTGCTCTTAAAAACAATTAAAAAGGACCCTTTCATGTTGGCACCATTGCCTTAGTCCTCTGTGGGTTGGTCTTCAGCCAGCGTTCTGGCGGGAGTGACTGGCATTAACAAGACTGGAAATCGGGGGTCAGAGTAAAATATCTTTGCTTTGTTTTCATTCACAAAGTAATGAAGCCAGCTGCCAATTACGTCCTCCCAACAGCACTTTGGTCTGTGGACTACTGTGTGAATATTCAGAAAGGAAGTAAGTATTCGGGGATAAACAGGTCTCCCAAACCCAGTAATCCACTCGCCAATTCAAATAGAACAGCCCCTTGCTAGGTATTACCACAGATAATGACAGTCACATGGTAGAACTGCCCATGCCACAAACCTTTATTATTTGGAAAAATAGTCATTAAATGAACCCACTGCCTTAAATGTCTTGAATGTTGCAGTCAAGTGTCTGTCATGTGTTGATATCCACACAGAATTAGGCCCTAATGAGAGCCTTAGACCCTCAACCATGCCCCCTTCGTTGGCATCACAGGGCCTTATTTGGAAGAGGGGGCAAAGAGGATGGAAATCGTAAAATATTTCAGGGGAATCGAACCTAGGAGTAGTGCTCCACCTCTGACGATGGAGTGAAGACGCTTGGCAGGCTTGAGCCAGACACTTCACCTAGTAGTTCCTGAAACTGTGAGCACCGTTGCACTAAGCCAGTGCAGAGCTGTTAGGGACGGGGCCCAGCTCCTGCCACCACAGACACAGAATGTCTTGGGAGGGCCAGCAGGCCCTCTGAGGGTTCTGGAATCTGTGCACCTTATTTGATCACACTCCAAAATTCCGTTTTTATTTTAATCCTTGAACCTGCTTTATGTATATAATCAAAATATCTATATCTATATCTATATCTATTTTTAATCATCTACATGTAAATGAAGCAATAGAATTCTAACATAAGGCCAAGAAATGAGATGAATGTTTGGGGTTTATGTTTTTTAAGGTAAATACGGGTATTGTTTTTAATTATTACCATTTATTAAATTGTGGGCTTTGAAACCTAATGAAACCTGTTAGCCACTTCTCTGTGCCATATACTTCCCATGTTACCAAAATACCCCCAACTCTTTAGTCAAAAGAGAACCCTGACCTCCTGAGTTTCCATGGTCCTTTCTGTACCAGGTTTAAATACAGTCTTCTGGAGAAGTATTTTTGACATTAAGCTCTGGGACAGGACACCTTGGGTTTGTGGACTCCAGCCCACTATAATGTTATGACTTCTCTGGCCAGGCCTCTGGTGGAAGTGCACGGGCACTCCCAATGTTGTTAATGCTCTGTCTTCCATTTGTTCTGGAATCCTGTGTGTGGGTCTGTTGTTCCATGCATTAGCTGTTTGTAAGTAATGCATTTGCATACTGAAAAAGGAATGCCACCTGCCACAGTTGATGGTGAGGAAGGTCCTTTGACGTGGTGCAATTTTGATGAGATGTGTCTGGGGACACGAGGATGCCCTAATGATGCTGACTTGTCATGGTTGCAGCATTCGAACTTTTGGTGTTTAAAAAAAAAAAAAAATTCGTTAAGTCTATGACCTGGCAACATTTTACAACCCTGTATTTTTAAAGATGGCTTTCTAATAAAAAAATCCAGAACCACACAGCCCTATGGTCAAACAGTCCTACGTTTGTGCCTCTGCTCTTAAAGGTGCTGTGCTGGACAGTTGGCATGCCAGGGTTTGAGAAGAGTGGATGGCTTGACGTACTTGCAGTTAACTGTTCATAATTGACTGGCTGCCTCTGTTCCTACCGTACTGTAAATTTGATCATGTCTGTTCCTGTTCCATTCTCCCAGGAGCTTCTCTGCAGACTGACACACCCTCCCCCACCCCAGGTAGTGGAGATGCTGGTGTCTGGGTAGTCATGGATTTCTGTTGGACATTTGAATGTGATAAACAATCCAGCATTACTTGGGAAATGCTACATGTGGAATGTGCATGTTTCCAGGGGCGAGTATTGTCAATCAAAAGGTTTGCAACGATTTCCTTCCTGCCAAAAATAAACATGTGAAACTGCGCTCTCTTGTGGATGGACTGCTTTTCTACCAGCAGCGCCTCTCCTCCCTCCCTTCCCCACCTCCTGTGCAGCCTCATGCCATCACCTTGGGTCTCCTGGTATCCCCACTTCTGGGGAACAGGGTTGGACGGGAGTCGGGCTGCAGCACTCCAGGAGCCACAGACTGATCTTCTAGCTCCTCCATCCCACCCAAATTGCCTGTCACTCCAAGGGTGACTGCTGTTCAGCCCCCTGGCTTCCTCTCTCCAGAAGCGGTATGGCTCACTGTCCTCCCAAAAGGATTCCAGTCCTCCCAGCAGACTTGAAAATTCAGCCTGAGAGAACTGGGACCTCCCATTCCATAAGAGCCACAGGCATTATATGTGGTGCCTAAACCCATCCCCATCCCCATGGGCACAGTGACTGAGATGATTGCCAGATGAAGCACGGCAAGGACTCGGAAGAGGAGTCAGGATGTCCCAGGCAGTTTCTTGCAGTGAGACATTCTGTCACCAGTGTCCTGAACCCAGTCCCTCTGTACATGCAGGTGAGAGAGGCAGTGAGTCCTCCTCTGCTAGGGACTCCTGGCAGGGTCTTGGACATGGCTTCGCCACTCTCAGGACTCTTTCTGTTCATAATGATATCTGATTCAGATAGCACCAGTGTCAATTTCATAAGGTAGGTCTTATCCCCATTTTGTGGATGAGAAAACAGGCCAGTGAGACAAAGCTCTGCAGTTTGCTCTATCACAAGATAACCAGGCACATATATTCATCCCAAATAACTCAGGACACAGTATGTGTATCAGCCCAGGAGACCTAATATTTACCCAGAGACAAAACCCCAAATACCCCACAGCTAAGCCTGTGCCGTGCCTCTAGGTTCCTTGTCGTCACAGTGGAGCAGCTAGCCAGCCAGAGAGAAGTCACCACAGCTTCCTCCCCTGGTTCCAGACTCCTAGGCTGTGTCCTTCATTCTGCTCCCCAGCCCTCTCTGTCCCTCTCACTTTCTCTGGCATCAACCCTGTACCCCACTGCTTCACACCTTTGCAAATAGGCAAACAGATAAAAGGCTGAGAATTGTGGCAGTGTCTGAGGCTGAGGTATCCTCATGAGTGTCCACCGATCCCTGAAATAGGTGGGAAGGACACACGGGGCGTCAAGAGGGCACTTATCTGGGGACTTAGACATGCTGAGATATGCCTTCCGTGTTTTCTAGTTTGAGCACATGTCATCTGTGTGTATTACACGACCAAGGAATGGGCAGGAAGCTCAGGAGGGTGGGAAGGAGTGGCTGGGAAAAGCCAGCCTGGGAACAGTGGCGCATCAGCTGATGAACATTCTGTGGAGCTTATGGATGAGTGCATTGAGGGCTTGTGGCCGAGTTGTGGAGTAACCTGAATGCTTGCACGATAAATCTGTGCCAGGGTTGGCTATGGGTCAGCAGGCTGTTCAAGGCCCAGAGCCACCAACTGGCATGGCCACCAGCCTGACCTCTGAGAACAGAGGCCATCGGGAGGAGGACATGGCCCCAGAGCTTTCCACCCCAAGCCTCCATTACAGCTCCCTCTCCTGGCGCAGTGATTCTCAGCTCTGGCTGCAGCTGTACGCTAGAATTACCTGAGGGGTCTCAAACACACATCCCTCAAGTCCACCCCAGACCATTTCCAATCTCTGCAGATGGGGACCTGCACCATGTTTTTAAGTGCCAAGAAGACTGGAAAGGGCAGCCAGGGCTGAGACCCCCTGCTCTGACTGGCTACAGAGGAAAGGCAAGTCCTCCAAAACTGTTCCAGGCCTGATGCCCAGGTGTGGCAAAGGAGCCGTGGCCAGAGCTTTGCGGAAAATGACACATTGCTTTGCCTGAAAGATCAGCCATATACATGTTCATTGCCAAAAACCTGGAAAATCCAGAAAAGTACAGAGAAAAGCCCACCTGGGCACTGGGAGCCTTTCCCAAGGCAGGAGTGAGGAGGGAGGCCTGATAAGACCCCTGCCTGGCTGACAGCACCTGCTTTCACACAGGTGGGGAGAAGAGTGGAGCCCCCCACTGCACATTGGAAGGGTCACACTGCCACTAGGCACGGACCCCAGCCTTGCACCACCCCTCCAACAGGCCAGGGGCTTTCCTGACCCAAGCTGGGTCCTAATGGGTGGGCGTGCTGCTGAGCAGGACCACAGTGGGCAAGGCAGTGACACCTGTTTGCAGGGATCCAGGGTTGGTGTTTGGTCTGTCCTCTCACCCAGCAGTTCCTGTGGTGTCCTTGGGAGGAGTCACTTCCAGCCTATGCAAGCCCCGGTGACCATTGCCACAGCTCCTTCCACATCCTGCAGCCCAGGACAGGACCAGCAGATGTGGGGACACACGCCGGCCCATGGCTGCTCCCCTCCAGCATGAGGAGCCAGGGCATCTGCAGCAGTGGGCTCCAGTCCTCACTTCCCTGTCTGCCCTCAGGGAGGGACGCTCCTTACAGAGCCCAGAGGCAACATTCTGCACCTGTCTGGGAGAGACTGGAGAAGGCCTGGGGGATGAAGCCTGGGAGAGGATGCCTGAGCCCAGGGAAACCGGGGCGGAGCCTGGACTTAGCTTGGGGCCACTCCTTCACCTGGGTCAATATTGACATGGAGTGGGCTGGGCCTTGGAGACAAGCCAGGCAGGAACAAAGTAGGCCTCAAGCCCTGGAAACTTGCTGAGTGAGGAGGTGGTAGATTAAGGGGGGCTGGGGCAGGAAGAGGGCAGGGCTTTGCTAGCAAGGCAAACTCTACTCAGGGCCCTTTTTTTTTTTTTTTTGGAGACGGAGTCTCGCTCTGTCCCCCAGGCTGGAGTGCAGTGGCGCCATCTCGGCTCACTGCAAGCTCCCCGCCTCCCGGGTTCACGCCATTCTCCTGCCTCAGCCTCCCGAGTAGCTGGGACTACAGGCGCCCGCCACCGCGCCCAGCTAATTTTTTCTATTTTTAGTAGCGACGGGGTTTCACTGTGGTCTCGATCTCCTGACCTTGTGATCCACCCACCTTGGCCTCCCAAAGTGCTGGGATTACAGGCGTGAGCCACCGCACTCAGGGCCCTTTTGACTCCCGGCAGGCCCCCTTGAAGAGGGGCGGAGGTAGGGATGGGGGTGAGGTGGTGGGACCCCTTTCCTGCTAGGGGGAGGAGGGAGGGAAAGGCTAGGCATCCCACCTTCCCATTCTTGTAGCACCCGGCTGCCTGTGAGCCTGCCCTGGGCCTCAGTTTCCCCTCTGTGTGCCTGGGGTGTGACAGCCATGAGCCGGAGGCTACCCAGGCCAGACTCAAGGCAGTGCTGCTCATCGTGGCCTGAGGCCAGGTTCTAAGGCCAGACTGCCATCTCTCCTGGGCCTGGGATCACAGGTTACAGAGTAAGTGGTTCTGGACAGGGCAGTTCTGCCCAGGTGACATCTTCTGGTTTGCAGACACCGAGACAATTCTGAGAGGTGAGGCCTTGGAGAAGTTCTCGTGCCCCCCACTAAGCTGCTGACACTGGATTGTGCCAGCTGGGGTATCTAGCCCACAACCAAAGTGAAGAGGAGTCACCCCCTCAGCTTCTCAGAGGAGGAGGACTGAGCCCAGTAAAGGATCCAGACACACACACACACACACACACACACACACACACACACAGGGTCAGGCGCAGGCCACAGAAACATGTCAGCAAACATTTTATTAAGCAACTGCAGTATGCCGGGCACCATTCTACACACAGGTGGACATGAGCAAGGCCCCGCCCACAGTGACTCACAGTCCAGCTGGGACACAGACACTAACCAAAGATCCCACTTAGCAAGGAGACCAGCTTCTTGGAGCACCATGATGAGGAAAGTGCTGATGTCTGAGGAGGGAGACTGCTGTGGCTAAGGAGGGCAGGAAGGGCCCTCTGCAGGGCTGCCGTTTTGGCTGGGGCCTAAATGCAGTAAAGGAGCAGCTACGGGAAGATACAGCGTGGGGCTTCCAGGCAGAGAAGACTGCAGTGCAAAGGTCTGCAGACAACGACCTGGGCGTCTTCAAGGGACACAAGGAATCATATTGCCAGAACGCAGTGAGCCATGCAAAGAGCGATGGGAGAGGCAGCTGGGAACGGCCATTGAGAATTTCATCCCAGTTTTAGTGGAAGCCACTGGAAGGTTTGGAGAGGGGGATGGTGTGAGTGGGTTTATGGTTAAATTCTGAGGTTAAATTTTCCCTCTAGTTAGTGAAAATCATAGACAGAAAATAGAATGGTGGTTGCAAGGGGCTGGGGGCAATGGGGAGTCTGTGTTTAATGAGTGCAGGGTTTCAGTTTTGTAAGATGAAAGAATTCTGGAAATAGTGGCAGCGGTTGCACAACAATATGAGTGTCCTTAACACCACAGAACCATATACTTAAAAGTGGATACACGTCGGGTGTGGTGGCTCATGCCTGTCATCTCAACACTTTGGGAGGCTGAGGCGGGTGGATCACTGGAGGTCAGGAGTTCACCACCAGCCTGACCAACATAGTGAAACCCCGTCTCTACTAAAAATACAAAATTAGCCAGATGTGGTGGTGCATACCTGTAATCCCAACTTCTCAGGGGGCTGAGGCAGGAGAATCACTTGAACCCAGGAGGCGGAGGCTGCAGTGAGCCAAGATTGAGCCATTGCACTCCAGCCTGGGCAACAAAAGCAAAACTCCGTCTCAAATAAATAAATAAAAAGGGGATGCAATGGTAAATTTTAAGTATATCTTACTACAATTTTTTACATCTCGTGAAAAAAAGATTTTTTATATTTTACCACAATGTTTTAAATCTTAGGAAAAAAGATCCCTCTGGATACTGTGGGAGGATGGCCGCAGTGGCCAGGCAGACCCCCAGACACAGAGGGAGGCTGGCTCCAGAGCACGCAGGAGGCATGAGAGGGAGGGCCAGGGCCAGGATCCACCATGAACCAGCCGCAGACTGGCCAGTGGCTTGGGGGAGACAGAAACCAAGGCAACTGCAGGTCTGGGGCCTAAGCACCCACTGGATGTTCACGGTGAACATGTTCCTGGGGCTCAGACAGGGTAGATCTGGGAGGGGCCTGAGGCAATGTTAAGTGTGAGGCCAAACGTGCCGGGAGGGATGTGACCAGATGGAAGATGGAGACTTAGGCTGGGGCAAGGTTCAGGGGAGTTGGGTCAGGGAAACGCTTGCGTTTCCATGGTATTTGCATCCTTCAGACTGGAACTGGGACGGTAACTAGAAAACAAACAGGAGTGAAGGCCCGAGCTCTGCACCTGCTGCCATTTAGAGGCCTGAGGGAGATGGGTGGAGTGAGAGGGAAGGAACGATGGTGACTGAACCGACTGCCGACTGCCGCATGGATGAGAGTGGGTATTGGTGACTTAGGAAAGAGCCATTACCAGGGAATTCAAGAACCAAGACCAACAGAGTGGGTGGGCTGAGGGGAGATGGGGGAAGAGTCAGTGGGAAGAAGTGAGGACACAGGGTCTTCCTGGGCACAGGGACAAAAGGAGACAGGGAAAAGGGTATGCACAGCTGCAGCAGATACACTGCCACTGTCACAGACAGAGTCCCTGTCCCAAGTGGGGATTAGACAGGCATGCCAGGACACAGGCACACACATGAGGTCGGACAGGCAATGGCACACGTGGGGACAGACCAAGTGCCTGTGACACAGGCATTGCTTCACACACAGGGACCCTGCATCGTGTCTATTAAACAGTCACACACTAGCTGTAGGTCCTGCTGGGCACAGACTGCCCCTGAGTCCCCAAGTCCCCAGACCCCTGTGACAGAGACCTTTGTGGGGTGAAGACTGAGCACAGGGAGAGGGTCTTGGGCAGTGGGCAGTGGTGGGCAGGCTTTAGCAGCGTGGCTTTGATAGGACAGCCCATGCTGGCTGGGCCTTGGCTGGGACTGAGGCCTGTGCCCTAAGCTGCCAAGAGGAGGTTGTGCCCCTGGAGTTTCTGGAAGGCTCTATTTGCAGCCCCTCCACCCCACAGTGAGAGAGAGAGAGTGGCAGTGGGCGGCAGCTGAGGTGAGGGAGAGGCGTCTTTGCTGCTAGAGCTGGACTGGCCTCTCCCATGATGGGTAGCGGGGTTCCCTGAGGAGGGCTGTGCCAGGCAGTGAGCTCACATTTGGGTAGGGACAGCAGAAATATCTAGAGGGAGCCCTGGCCACCTTCCCCTCCTGAAGTGAGCTGGGTCCCACAGAGCCGGACCCCACAGCCCCCAGCCTCAGTCCTACCTCCTCCTAAAGTTTGCTGGAGTGGCCTGGCCCTCTTGGTCCAGGGGGAGCCCACCACCCTGGGTGAGGGATCAGGGGCCCATCTAGTACTCCAGAGAAGGAAATTCCAGTATCTTCCACACCTCACCACTTAGCCCAGTCCAGGCCTCCATCCCCTGCTCTCTCTGGCCACTGGTACCCAGGCAGTGAGACCTGGGAGACTTAGCCATAGCCCTGGGGAGGGCGCTGGCCCCCAGATGGCTTGCTCAATATTTGTTGACTGACTGACTAAGGGAATGCCCAGCCCGCTGAGTGCTGTGTGGTGGGGTGTGTCCTGCAGGGCAGGAGCTGGGATTCAGTTACAGCAGCAGGGGCCAGGAGTAGGGAGGCAGAGACTGGCCCTGTGCCAGGCCCAGCACTGCCCACAGGCAGGGTGAAGGCGCGGGAGCGGTTTCCAGCAGGTAGGCCTGGGCAGGGTGTGTGGGGGGTTCCAGGGAACCAGCGGGGCAGAGAGTGGGCTATTCAAGTCAAGGGCATAGAGCATAAGGTCGCAGGGCTCAGGGTCACAGAGCCTTGGCGGCAGAATTGAGCGGCAGCAGCAGCCCAGCAGGTGAAAACACCGATGGGGCAGGGCCACTGTGGCAGGCAGCCCAAGGGGAAGAAAGTGGTGGATTTTGTAGAAGGGCAGGGAAGTCCGTGGCCCACAGACTCAGTGTGCCTGCCCCCAACCCTGGCCCCATCCTTTCCCCTCATTCTAGAGGGCGGCACCAATCCCTGCTCCCTGGAAGTTGGGCAAGGTAATCTCCGGCTCCCTTCAATGGTACCCACAAAGGAAGGAAGGGCTCCTGTAGGGAGAGAAAGAGGCGCTGGAGGAGGGAGAGGGCCAGGAGAGAGGAGGCACCCAGGGACATGAGGGGCACGGGGAGAGAAGAGGGTGTGTGTGAAGAGGGTAGGGAGTGTCCCGGGAAAGACAGGGGAGCCCGGGAAAGAGAAGGGAAGACCTGGGTAGGGAGGGCGGGGAGGGAGACAGGAAGGGGTGTAGGGGAAAACAGGGAACCGGGAAAGGAGGAAGTGCCTGGGAAAGAGAAATGGGAGAAAAAGGGAAGGATCACAGGGGAGAGGGGCAATCAACGGGGAGAAGGAAGAGCCAGGGGGAGGCAGAGGCACCAGGCGGGGACAGAGGGAAACCTTGGAAAAGGGGAGGCGTGGGGCATAGGGAGAGAAAGGGAAACCAGGGAAGGAACTGGGCATCTGGAAGAGAAAGGAGCCCTGAGTGGAGGAAGCGCACCCCCAGGGAAAAGAAGGAGGGGCTTCTAGGAGGAAAGAGAGGACCAGGGGTAGGAGGGTTCCCACTTGGGAAGGTGGTGAAAGGGAGTTCCCCAGAGGAAAGAGAGCGGGAGGGTTTGGGAGGTTGGAGGCAGCACTGTGGAGAGGTAGGAGGCCCCCAATCTTTGAGCACCCATTCCCCCCTGAAGCCCAGGTGGAAGACAGTGAACACAGATGCCATGGGAGTGGGACCTCAGCCCTGGTGGCTGAGGGTTTGGCTCCACAGGCTGGGGCTGGATATCAGACAGGCTCCCGGCCCCCTGGGGGCGACACTGCCCCTCCCAGTGACACCAGCCAAGTCCCAACTTTCTGGCTGCCAGTTTGACTTTCCTGTCCCCCTTGGGCCCTGGCTGCCACTGTTCTGAGGCCATCCAGCAGTCTTTCTGATACTCTGTCACCGAGTTGCACTCTTCCATGAGCTACGTACAGCTCACAGTTTCTGTCTGCACCTCTGGTCACTGCCTGCCTGGGCCTCTGGTAATTGTCACTGGTCACTATTTCTGCCTGTTACTCAGTGTCCTACAGGGCCACCATTGCATGTCATCCTGCTTGCCACCCAACGTCCTCACGTTTTCTGTTGCTTGAGATCACCTTTTCACGGCCACTATGTCTGCCTGTCACTCATGTCATCGTCACACCAATAGGCCATCAACTGTGGCAACAGATCCTGGGGCAGTTAGGGTGCGGGGACGGCTCCCTTCTCCATTCACTTTCACTCAGTCCCGTCAGTCACAGGGCAGCACGCTTCACTCATTCAACAACTACTTACCGAGTACCTGCTGGGGGCCAGGCAGCTGGGATCCCACAGTAAACAAGAGGACAAACCCCTGCCTTCAGGAATCTGATGTGCTGGTGAGGGAGACAGCAGCCAACAACCATCCTATGGTTTCCATAGGGTGCGGGAGGAGCTGTGAGCTAAACCCAGCTCTAACCCCCTAGAAGGACCGCCCACTCTGTCCCCGCTGCCCCACGGCCTCCTCTGCTCCCACCACATTTCCTTGGCTACCTGTTGGGTGTTGCCACAGTGTACTGTGAACTCACCAGGGCCAAACCAGGGCCCCTGACAAAGGTGTAAGGAATGTGAGCCACTTTATGCCACCTATTGTACCACGCCTGATTCTGTAACTCTGTCCCCTTGCCTTGTTCCGCCTGGAGCCAAGGGTGTTCCTGCTGTCGATAAGACATAGTGGAAGTGGAGGGGGAGGGGGAAGGACTAACACACCAGGGTCACCCTGAGTGAGAGATTTAGAAAGAAGTGACTTTTGGACCAAACCTCACACACAGGTTTCTGAAAGTGGTGCAGAGAAGCCTCAGGTAATTGAGTATGAAGTGCCAAGACATAACAAAATCGACAGAAGTGAGGGTCCCTTCCTTCCCCCAGGTACTTCTCATTCCATGTCACTCACTGCCCTCTCCTTCTCTCCCTCCTCCGCACACGCAGAACCACACAGCACAGACTCAAGCCAGCTAAATCGCTATTTGCAGAGCCTGTGGCTGTTTGCAGAGCCTGTGGCTGTTTGCAGAGCCTGTGGCTGTTTGCAGAGCCTGTGACCTGTGTGGCTGCACAGAGCCTGGCTGTTTGCAGGGAGCCTGTGGCTGTTTGCAGAGCCTGTGGCTGTTTGCAGAGCCTGTGTTTATACAGAGTTCAGTTCTGTTTCAAGAATGTGTCAACTGAAGCAGGAGCATCACTTGAACCCAGAAGGTGGAGGTGCAGTGAAGCGTGTTCGAATCATGCACTGCAGGCTAGGTGACAGAGCAAGACCCTGTCTCGAAAAAACTGAAAAAAAAAAAAAAAATTGTCAAGTGTTTATGCCTAATCTGCCCAACCCACTCATATCAGCTGAGCCTGTCACTTGCTGCAGAATCTGTCAGTCTTCACAGTCTGTGTGCGACATGTGTGAGTTTCCAGAGCCCTGCTAATAAAAGTCATGTTCTATGATGAAGCTGTACAGGTAGCCAGGCGTTGGTCTCCAGCCTGAGAACTCTGGCTCTTGTTCCTTGTGTCATCCCATATTCCTGCCTGGCCTAGGATGGACATCAGCAAGGGCCTCCCAGCCATGCAGGGAGGCCTCCACATATGGATCACTGAGGTGAGAGGCACGACCAGATAGGAGAGTTGGTGACACGGAAGAGCGTGGGGTTTCCCACACCAGGCTTCTCCCGCCCCCAAGTCAGAGCGTCCTCCTCCACCCCAGCCCAGCGGGTGTCACGGGTAGGGATCTCCTGAGTTGTTACAGCGCGCTCTCCTCTCCCAGAACCAGAAGATGGTGCCGGTACCCGAGGGGGCTTCCGGGAACTTTTTTGAGGAACACTGCTATGTCATCCTCCACGTGAGTCGCTTGGGGAAGTGTGTCTGAGAGGGGTGACATGGCCCAGCACTGGGGAGACTGTGGCGCGGACATAAACTCTGCCCTGGGAAGCGGCAAGTTGAGAGCCCGAGAATCACATCCCACAAGGTGGCGGTTACCGCTGAGGCTTCTCAGCCCTTCCTCCCGCTTCCTCATCTCCGCGGAAGCCCCTGCCTGGCTGGCGTCTCCCCATGGCCCTTGGTGCATCCTCCCCTTCTCCAGCCGCACCTCCGCCTTCCCCGCAACACACACACACACACACCCGGACCCTAGGTTCCCCAGAGCCCGAAGGCCACGCAGGGGCCGCCCAGCGACCTGCACTACTGGCTCGGGAAGCAGGCGGGTGCGGAGGCGCAGGGCACGGCGGCCGCCTTCCAGCAGCGCCTACAGCAGGAGCTGGGGGGCCGGACCGTGCTGCACCGCGAGGCGCAGGCCCACGAGTCCGATGGCTTCTGCAGCTACTTCCGCCCGGGAATCATGTGAGTGCGGGGGCGGCCGGGGGCCGGACTGAGCCGTGGAGGCGGTGCCTGGGCTGGGGCAGTCTTGGGATGGCCATGGTCCACATCCCTGAATGGGGAAAGCCGGGAGGGGTTAGGTAACACCTTTATTGAGATGCAACTCATACACCGTACGATTCACCCATTTAAAGTACACATACATGTCAGTGATTTTTAACAGCTGTGTACAACCATCACCACAATCAATTTTAGAACATTTTCATCACCCTAAAAAGAAGTCCCATACCCCTTTGCGATCACTCCCCATTTCCCTCCAAGACCCCCATCCCCGGCCCTAGGCAACTACTCATCTACTTTGTCTATACATTTGCCTCTTCCGGGCATGTCATAGAAATGGAATCATTCAACAAGTGGTCTTCCCTGACGGACTGTTTTTGCTTAACACACTGTTTTCAAGGTTTATCCATGTTGTAGCATGTGTTATTACTTCTTTTTATTACCAAGTAATATTGCATTTTATGAATATACTACATTTCATGTATCCATTCATCACTTAATGGACATTTGGGTTGTTTCCACTTTTTGGCTGCTATGAATCTGTTTCTATGAACATTTGTATACAAGTTTTTGTGTGGACAAATGTTTTCATTTCCCTTGGTATATACCTAGGAGCAGACACCAATGGTGTTTTGAGTTTGCTTTTATATTACTGTGCTGGTGGGAATATGTCTTTCGCTGTAAATTGTTTCACAGGTGTTTTAAATTAACATTTGCAATATATTTGGCAGTATAGGAAATTGCTGCTATTTGATCATTTCCATTTCATACAGTTGAACCTATATATGCATATAGCATATACATGAACACATGCACACAAGCATATGCACAGATGCAGAAACACCACCCCCATGTAAGTCCACCTATAGATGGACATGTGTGAATATCCATGTTCACCTACACACATATATACTGTTGCCCATTTTCATGTACTCACCATCTAGACTTACAGGGATAAACAAATAGACACTGTGCCCCCAAATGTATGTACATGTACACATATATGCATGTGTCCACATGATAATGCATGGAAGTGCACTACACATGGAAATGAATGCACACTCATGCCCTATGTGTGCACCCATGTACCTATACATGCATGTGTTCACACAGATTCCCGTGCATGTATGAAGCAGGTACATATGTGCATGTGCTCACATCTGCAATCATTCATGCACATGGCAGACTGTGTTCTCACATACACAGAATGTATATACCCTCCTGCTATTCCCTCCTCAGCTACAGGAAGGGAGGCCTAGCGTCTGACCTCAAGCATGTGGAGACCAACTTTTTCAACATCCAGCGACTGCTGCACATCAAAGGGAGGAAGCACGTGTCTGCCACAGAGGTGAGGCTGCCAGGGGAGCCTCTTGACCTCTGGACTCGGCTCAGACTGGGTGTACTGAGGTATAAGGAAGTGGGAAATTGGCTGGGGCTGTGGGGAACAAGGAGCTGTCAGCATTCTCAGATGGTCTTGAACGAGGAGAATGGAGAGGACACCAAGCTTCTAGCCCCACTTCTGCCTCTGCTCCCTGGACCTTATGTTTCTGCATCTGTCTCATGGACATATTGAGAACCTGGGCACAGCTACTTGGGAGGCTAAGGCAGGAGGATCACCTGAGCCCAGGAGTGATTCATGATGACACCACTGTACTCCAGCAGCTTGGGTGACAGAGAAAGACCCGACCCTGTCTCTAAAATCAAAAAAAGAACTTGGGCAGATGGGGCAGACGATCTGGCACCTGTGAATGGTCCTTGTTAGCAACACAGTGAGAGGTGGTGCAAAACTTGGGGAGTGCATAACCTCACACTCTCTCACACACATTGTCATTGTCACCCATATGCACACACGCTGTCTCCCACTGTTATCCCCAGGTGCTTCTCTGGTCCATTTAGTGCCCTTGTGCAAATCAGAACACAGTGTCCCTTTCTTCCATCTGTCAGGAAATTACAGGAAAGTACTGGTTTTGTTAAAACAAAACATTTTGCTGCCATCTGGCCAGAATTTGGTGTAATGAACATTCAGGTGTACAACATCTACAGTGTGAATGGTAACCCTTGAGGTATGCAAGTGAGTCTGCATAGGCAGCCTGTGACACACAGACAATCCCACATAGGCTCAGCATGTCACCCACAGACCCAGTGACCATACATCCCTGGTCATTCAGGGACACCATGAAGCCCCATGTTTCTCCTATTATCCTGGCATAATTATCTAAAGTACTCCCTTTTACTCTCAAAAGTGTGTCCGTTTGGAGACTATCTTCATCCATACATATACACTGTCACCATGAGCACATACACTTCTTCACATGTGATGTCCCCACATACATATGTGTGTATATGCACACACACAAAAGATAAACAGATACACCCCACCTGTATACATGTGTACATGTACACATGTACAGCAACAGACATGCACTGAGTGAGAAGTGTCATAAGTCATGTACACCCTGTGAAATGCAGCATTATCTACAGTCACACATGCCTAGTACACCCAGTTGCAGACAGCTTCATGCACACGTGACACATCCCAGCTATGCTCCCCTCTAGCGGATGCTGGTGGTATGACACTCTGTCTCCCTCCCTGCTCCTCCTGGCTCTGGCAGGTGGAGCTCTCCTGGAACAGCTTTAATAAGGGTGACATCTTCCTGCTGGACCTAGGCAAGATGATGATCCAGTGGAATGGGCCCAAGACCAGCATTTCTGAGAAGGCTCGGGTCAGTGTCTACCCAAGGAACTGGGGAGTATGGGGTTTGCGGGGGAATGGTCCTCCAGGTGCCCATCCTCCAGCCACCCCAAGAGGTGGGCTTGGCTTTCTGCTACAACCCACGAAACGTCTACGAGTTACAAGCTGAGTTCAGACCCTGCACTGTTGGTGTCCCCCTGGATGCCAGGATGAGGGGACACCAGCCCTTCTCCCCACCAGCCTCTGGGAGCTGAGCAGTGACAGGAGAAAGCCGTGCTGTGAGGGGGCACACTGGTGACACCCTGACTGCCAGGTTCTCTCCCGCAGGGGCTGGCCTTGACCTACAGCCTCCGGGACAGGGAACGTGGTGGTCGCGCACAGATTGGTGTAGTGGATGATGAGGCCAAAGCCCCAGACCTCATGCAGATCATGCAAGCTGTGCTGGGCCGCAGGGTGGGCAGCCTTCGTGCCGCCACGCCCAGCAAGGATATCAACCAGCTGCAGAAGGCCAGTGTTCGCCTGTACCAGTAAGTACCCTTGGGGTGGGCAGGGGTGGATGGGACAGTCCAGGACTCCGTGTCCATCACTACTACAATAACACGGCATCTCTAGAAAGCCCTCCAGCAAAGGCTGCTGGGTTTCTGGGACATGTCATATGGACCGTGGGCCCAGCCTGTACTCTTCCATGGTGTGCGGCTGCCTTGCTGAGAAACCTATTGTACATACCGGGGGACTGTGGTGCCCTGCTAGGGTCAGGGAGCTGCCTAAAGCTCCACAGCAAGGCTGCGGTAAAGTCAAGACTACAACTCAGGGCTCCAGCCCCCATGCCTTCTGTCTCTGAGGGGCTGCGGTGGGGTCCTAAGAGGGGCTGGAGTGGAGCCAGGTCAGGGAGGGGCTGGGCTGGTTACTCCTGGGTTCCTGTTCCCCCAGTGTCTATGAGAAGGGCAAAGACTTGGTGGTCGTGGAGTTGGCGACTCCCCCACTGACCCAGGACCTGCTGCAGGAGGAGGTGAGGAAGTCCTGGCCCCAGCTATTCGCATCCTTCCCCACCCACAACCCCAGCCCAGTCTGGACCACCTACTGACCAGCCCCACCCTTGCTCCCAGGACGTCTACATCCTGGACCAGGGTGGCTTCAAGATCTATGTGTGGCAGGGACGCATGTCTAGCCTCCAGGAGAGACAGGCTGCCTTCAGCCGGGCTATGGTGAGCACCCGGGCTCTGTCTGAGAGGAACAGAGCACTGCCCTGCTGTCTGAGTGGGGAGACAGCGCTGCCCCGGGGTCTAAGGGAGGAATCAGCCCTCCCCTGGAGTTTGAGTTGGGAAATCCTATGCTGGAGTCTTAAAGGGGCGGTAGCCCTGCCTTGGGAGGCCTGAGAGTGAAGACCAGGTGGCCACTGAGAAACCATGTATAAAAGGGGCACGTGGCCCTGCCTTCAGGTGTGGGGCCTTACTGACTGGGCGGCCCCGCTTTCTGAGGGTGGGGTTGGGGAGGAGACGGGGCTCTGTCTGGGGTCCATGAGGGTTGACATGGCCTGTCCTGCCCGACGCCTGGACTAAGGGGACCCTGCCTGCCCTCAGGGACCTCAGAGAAGTTGGTGGTGACAGAGTCAGTTCGTTAAGTGGGTCATGAGCTCGATTAATTAACGCTTCTTGGAGCTCGGCTGTCCCAGAGCTGTAGGTCCCCAGGGGCGGGAGTGGAGCAGTGGACTCTCGGGTCGCAGGACTGACAGTGCCTTCCGCCCCAGGGCTTCATCCAGGCCAAGGGCTACCCGACCTACACCAACGTGGAGGTGGTGAACGACGGCGCCGAGTCGGCCGCGTTCAAGCAGCTCTTCCGGACTTGGTCTGAGAAGCGGAGCAGGAACCAGAAGCTCGGCGGGAGGGGTGAGCGGGCGGGGCGAGCGGGCGGGGCGAGCGGGCGGGGCGAGCGGGCGGGGCGGGACTGGCGGGGGCGGGGCCTGGCAGTAACTGGCAACTCGGCGGGAGGGGTGAGCGGGCCGGGAGAGCGGGCGGGGCGAGCGGGCGGGCCGAGCGGGCGGGGCGGGACTGGCGGGGCGGGACTGGCGGGGGGGGGGGGGGCCGGGGGGGGGGGGGCCTGGTCTGCACGGGGCGGAACAGAACGTTCTCAGGATGAGGAAAGGGGCGTGGGCGGCGGAGGACGGGGCGGGACCTGGAATCTCGGAGGGATGGTTGAGGAGTGGGCGGGGCGGGGATGGTGTGGGAGGGGGTGGGGCCGAGGGCGCCACTGACACCTGCTGCCCCACCTTCAGATAAATTGATTCATGTAAAGCTGGACGTGGGCAAGCTGCACACCCAGCCTGAGTTAGCGGCCCAGCTCAGGATGGTGGACGACGGCTCTGGGAAGGTGGAGGTGAGGGGCACTGGGTTAGCTGGGGGAAGATGGGCACACAGGGGTGAGCTTTGCCTACAGGTAAACGGTATGACTGCTATCTGATGTGACCCAGGTGCATATCCATACATAATCAGGGACACCAAGAGACACGTGTACATTTACACACTCTTCTAACAGGCAGTTCATAAGTTCATAAGTTCATACAGAGTCACACCTAATCATATACAGCCATAGGCACTCACATAACACAGACACACAGTAGAGTAACACTTGGACCCTTAAATTCGCCCTGTAGTCACATGTAGGACAAAATCAAACATATGCTTATACAGACACACATACACACATACATAGTCACAGCCAAGTACACAAGTGCAAATATGAAGCTGCAAAAACTCTGCATCAGACATGACCACAGTCACACACAACTTATCAATCCACAGAGACACACCAACACAGACACACGATCACACATAATCATAGCCCCACACACTCAACCCCAGCTCATAGCCAGACACTGTCAACCACTCATCTGGTCTCAGTCCAGTGTCCTGCGAGACACAGGGGTTGAGGGCCACTTCCAGGCTGTGTATAGTGTGGGGTTGTATCTTGACTTACTGGCTGACCCCCTAGGCAGGGCCCTGAAATTTTTAGGCCCTAGTTTTTAAATAAAATGGAGTCAGAAACTGTGGTCCCATCTGGCCCCAAGGCTGATGTGGGGATCCTGTGGAACTGTGGGAACAGAACTGCTGGGCCTATGCAAGGGGTCCTAGTTCTCGAGGTAGGTGGAGGTCAGAGAAAACCAAGATTTCTTCTTCCTTTGCTCTAATATGGATGGACAGAAGTGATGAGTGGGAAGAGACTGAGAGAAGAGAAGATGGGGCAAGGGGGAAGAAGGGGGAGACAGGGAAAGAGGAAGACAGGGAAGGAGCGCAATGAGAGACAGAGAAAAAAGACTGGGAAGGACAGGGGATGAGGAGGAGACAGAGGGAAGGGAGGAGGAGGTGGGATGGAGGAAGAGCAGGGAGAGATGGGGTACAGGGAGAAGAGAAGGGGGGTCAGGAATAGATGGGATACACAGAGAGAGACAGAGAGCCAGATAGTGGGAGCGGCAGACAGGAAAGCAGAGGGAAAGGCGAGGGACGGAGGGAAAGAGAGCTCCAGAATTCAAGCGCCAAGCACAAAGTCAGGGAGGGGATCCCTCCTGGCAGACAGTGGACAGGCAGGCAGAGAGAGGGCCTGAGCCAGGGGTCCTGGCTGCCCGGTAAGTGCCAAGTGGCCTGTGGTCAGGTCAGCCCCTTTTGTGAAAGACAGGGCTGTGGCTGCTCTGGGCTGGAGGTCAGCTTCCCAGGGACAACTGTCAGGGTCAGTGTGGGAAAGGACACCCGGGCCTTGTCTCCTGCCATGCAGAGGTGAGGTAAGGGAGGTGTCATCGTCCCCAATATACCGGTGGGAAAGGCCTGATGTTTAGAACAATGTCACTGCTAACACAGGGCCTATCTGGGATTTGACCAGAGTCTGCCTGGCTCCAGGCTCTGCCACCCACAGGTCCCAGAAGAAACTACACTAACAGATGTGAGACAGTGTTTGCCCTTCAGTCTTTGAACAGGCTTTGTGTTTTCTAAATGACACTTGAAAAAAGGGAATTCATTCAAGAGCTCCAAGGCTTCCCTTTCCGCCTGGCTTCTGTTGCCCTGGCCTGAGCAGCAAGCAGCTGGGAGGGGACCGAACTGCTCCTAACCAGGGCTGTGGCTGGTGGGGTTGGGACTAGGGCTGGGCATGTGGCTGGGATTGGGTCCATCTCCCAAGTGTGGTGGGTTTCAGAGGTCCATGGGGAAAGGGCCGCCTGCAGATCCTTGTTCAAGCCCAGCACAAAGCCCGGAATGGGCCTGGAGCTGAGGGTGGGCCCCTGACCTTTGTGGATGAGGAAGGCCTCGGAGGCTGGGGAGAGCTTTCCAGTTGGGTGCAGGATGGGTGGGCTGGTTCAGGAAGAGCAGCCATCTGTGCCCATCAGTCCCTTATTCCCCAGGTGTGGTGCATGGAAGACTTACATAGGCAGCCCGTGGACCCCAAACGTCATGGACAGTTGTGTGCAGGCAACTGCTACCTTGTGCTCTACACATACCAGAGGCTGGGCCGTGTCCAGTACATCCTGTACCTATGGCAGGTGAGCCAGCCTGAGGGAGGCGGCACTCACCTTAAAGCCCAAGGGCTGGGCTCTGGGAGTGAGATGTGAGAGCTGGGCCAGGCCCTCACTCACTGCCCCTACCTGCAGGGCCACCAGGCCACTGCAGATGAGATCAAGGCCCTGAACAGCAATGCTGAGGAGCTGGATGTCATGTATGGTGGTGCCCTAGTGCAGGAGCATGTGACCATGGGCAGCGAGCCCCCCCACTTCCTCGCCATCTTCCAGGGCCAGCTGGTGATCTTCCAGGTAGGTCTGACCTTGCCCCTCTGGCCACAGCCTGCCCAGTTCTGCGTGGGCCATGGCCCCCACACAAACTTCTAAGCACTTTCTCTTTGGGCCTGGGTCCTGCTTCTCATCCCCTAGTTTCCCAGAGCTTGTCTAAGGCCCAGGAGCTCCAAGGTTGGCCCCTGCCTGACTTACCCTCTCCAGTCCCAGAGCCAGATGAGGAATTTGAGTTGAAAGGGAGCCAGAGGCTTGCCTGGGGCCACACACTGGCAAACCTGATCCCCACTTTCCACCTCCAAGGTCTGAGCACCCATGCCCTTACCACTCAGAGATAGGGGGGAAGGTTCATTTAGAAAGGGTCTGTCCCTATCCCAGCCTGATGGCATTCCTGCACTCCACGCTTAGAGGGTCCTATACTCCTCATGTGAAATCACCAGTGAGGGCCGTGGTAGCTTCAAGCAAGGGTCCCTGAGCTCTGAGGTAATATGTCCCACACTGGGACAGGAAGGCGCCCCCGGGAGCCCTTGCCCAGCCTGAGGCCTTGTTCTCCTGTAGGAGAGAGCTGGGCACCATGGAAAGGGGCAGTCAGCGTCCACCACGAGGCTTTTCCATGTGCAAGGCACTGACAGCCAAAACACCAAGACCATGGAGGTGCCAGCCCGTGCCTCGTCCCTCAACTCCAATGACATCTTCTTGGTGGTCACAGCCGGTGTCTGCTACCTCTGGTTTGGGAAGGTACCCACAGCACTGACCACTTGACTCATGCCCAGAGGTAGTGGTGCCAGGCTGGGGGTGGGTCCTCTCCATAGGGGATGCAGACTTTGAGTCCAGCCTCAGATAGGCTGATGGGGGGAATGGGGAGGGGAAGAAGCCACAGTGTCCCCTCTGGAACTTGGGGAAAGTTACAAAGTTACAGGTGGACCTGAGAGTCTACAGGTCAGAGCCAGGCCCAGGCCGCCGTCTCCTTACTTCCTGGAGCACAGGGCATGTCCCTTCCCAGGTCTCTTGGGAAAGGGGAGGCCTATGCCAGTTTGCTGGAGTTTTCTCTAATTTTCAGCATAAACTATGACTGACCCTCTAAGCCTGGGAGCCTCCCATCCCCTGCTCTGGACCTTTCGAGGGTCCCAGACCCTGTGATCCAGGTCAGCTGGGGACACAGGCCTGGAGGATGAGGAAGATGCCTTGTTCACCGGTGCCCTGCCGTCAGCTTAGGCCTCCTGTGACCTGGGCCCAACCCCACCCCATACACCCCGTGAATGGCATATGGGGCTGGAGGTGAAGGCCCCTCCTCGTACAGGGCCTGAGCCATCTCTTTGCCTGCTAGGGGTGTAATGGTGATCAACGTGAGATGGCACGGGTGGTGGTCACTGTCATTTCCAAGAAGAACGAGGAAACAGTGCTGGAGGGTCAGGAGCCTCCCCACTTCTGGGAGGCCCTGGGAGGCCGGGCCCCCTACCCCAGCAAGAAAAGGTAACAGGGTTGGGAGGAGAGTGTTCTTACGCAGAGGAGGAATTGAGGCCCAGAGGGGAGGGTGGGTGACTGGGGTTCACACAGAGAGCTGGAGAGACAAGACTAGAACTGGGGACTCTCAGCTTCCCACTCACAGAGACTCCCACGAGCACAGCCCGCCCTTCACTCCCAGGCCTGGGTAACTTGGGTCTCGAAGATGCTGGGGAGGGTGGGGGCAGTGGCGCTCTCTGCTGGCAGAATCCCCTCCCTGCATTGTCGTGGTCCTGGGCCAGGGGACAAAGCACCCTACAGTCCTCAGGGGTCACGGTGCCCAGTGTGTGTGTATACAGTGTCATATGATGTATCGGTATACAGTGCGTGTGGATGTGCAAGAACAGGTGTATTCTGGGTGTTGTGTGTGTGGTGTGTAAATGGACAGGGTTTGTGTGGCAGGTAGGAGTGAGGCCTCAAGGGGAGGAGGGAGCTGAGTCCTGGTCACTCTTGGTCTCCCTGTGGGGCTTGGTTTATGTGCTGCACTCCCTGAAATTCTCCTGAGCTCAGTACTCCCGCCTCCTTCTCCCAGCCTGGCTTCCCCTCCTTCCACTTTGGGCTGGAGACCTACTCTCTGCCAGGGGTGGGCTGAGGAGCTCCTCCCATCCCAGGGAGGGCGAGACTCCAGCTCAGGCCCTCCCCTTGCCCTGCAGCCCTCTGCTAGGGGAATTCACGGGACACCTTGCATCACAGCTGGGTGGGGCGAGAGCTTTCTCCATGAGCAGAGAGGGACCCTGCACCAGAGCAGAGCAGCGTGCTCGGGGAGCGGACCGTGGGGCTCAGAGGAGGGCCCAGGGCTCCCACTCCTGAGAAGTGGCTTCCCAGTCCCGGGATGGGGCACTTGTGCCATGGGCTGGGGTGCCTCTCTGCGTGGCTCACAGCCTTGCTGTCTGTGCTGGCCAGGCTCCCTGAGGAGGTTCCCAGATTCCAGCCACGCCTGTTTGAGTGCTCCAGCCAGATGGGCTGCCTGGTCCTGGCAGAAGTGGTGTTCTTCAGCCAGGAGGACCTGGACAAGTATGACATCATGTTACTGGACACCTGGCAGGAGGTAAAGCGGCCACCCCTGCCTGGTGGGGCTGTGAACGGGAGTGTGTCTGTTTGTGTAACTGGGTGTGTGTGTATCTAGCCATCTGACTCTGTACATAGGGTTGTGGGTGAGTCTGTGTGACCCTGTCACTGAGCAACTGCATTGTGGTGCCTATGAGACCATGGATGAGTGTGTGTCACCAGGTGGCAGCACTGAGACTCTGGGCGACTAGGAGTGTGTTGGAACTCAGGGGTAACTGAGACCACGTTTGCAGTTGTGTGCGGCTCTGTGTGCCTTATGATACTGTGTGT